ACCACATGCAATGCACAATGTCCAGAGCTGTGATCAACTGAGGCACTGTCATCAGTGCTTGGGAGCCCCACCAACTTGTTATGCCCAAGCCCGGTTCACACTCCGCTTGCCCACATTGTTACTGTCGCCCAGTACACATGACGTAAATTTCATCATCAGGAGTGTCTGCACAGGCAGCCCAGATTTCGAGTATTGCAGACTTCTTTATCTGTTCACAACAACTGCACATGTGCAAGGAATACTAGATGTTTCTGTAGATGGAATCTGATGGGCTACTGGAATATCACAACCATCTATATTACATGGACAAACGTATTATGTACATGAAAGTCAACACACTCCACTGTAAGCGGACCGTAACAGCATACGGACAAGTGGAGCATGAACTAGGCTTAATTTACTGCCCGTTCATGCCACGAAGGCTGTACCGTACTGGCTCCTCTGAACATACTGAGCAAATACTGTCAAAGGACGGTACGATAATCTCTCTGACATCCTGTTGGATGTGCAGTGATGGCATTCACGTGCTAAAAAGTACATTATTCTCTGCAAAACAGCTGCTCTGCAAGCGGGAGCCTCCCTGGCCTCCTTCACTAATGGGGACCATGACGAGGGCAGGTCTGCAGTGCCCTTGCAGTGCAGTGACCATCTTCACATGTACGTCTTCATCCCGACCTGCAGCCTATTGGCCTGTTTTAGATCTTTCATGTTTAACAGCTGGTTGACTGCATGGTTTTTCTGACATCTTGGTGCCATGACTTCTGCTTACCCCCCCACTATTCCCTGGCGGACAGTCATAAGAGGGGAAGACAACTCTGGCCTGGTATTAAGAAAAATGACTTTAATCAAAATGCAAGGGCAGCACCCCAGAGCGCTCTGGCTGAGCCAAACCGCAACGCGTGCTTCAGACGAGGGGTTGGGCAGCTTCTGAGCACAGGCTTCTGGCTAAGGAAGCCTCATTTTTCATACCTGTGCAGTCCTGAGCAACATAAACCGTTATGCCTCGCAGTTCAGGGTCTGCTGCCTCCTCAACAGCTTTTCTAGGAGAGAGAAAGGCCTACATTCAAATCCTCGCCTATATCTGTTTCCGCTCAGGACCTTCCAGAAATCTAAAAACAACAGTCACACCCAGTCACATAGCTAATGGGCGTCCACTGATGAAAACAGCACGGCTGAGTAGATGTTATGTTGTAAGCAATTATATTTTGAAAACTGGCAAGGAGCTTTGAATTCAATGTCAAAGAGAAAGTCACGCAGAGACATTAAAGTTCTGTGCAAAACTCTAAGCGAATTTTCTAGAGGTTGACAAAGTAAAATTGAGAATAGGGTGTATTTCCATTAATGTAGGCCATGCAACTAATACTTGCCATTTATCATCCCATGAAATTAAAATCCATGTCTTGTACTTCAACAAGGAGAGAGCTCACCATGAGTTAGTAGCTTTAGAAGAACGAATTAAACACTCTATATCAAGTCCTACGTTTCAACTAAATCGCAAATTCCGTTTTCCACCGCTATTTTGCAGTTTTTTTCCCACTTGCCTAAAAGTCACCTCAAGCGACCATAAGAGCTTATTTTTACGTTATTTGAGTGTTTACATTTTGAAAAATGTGTAAAACCCAGGTCAATGGGAATGCCACTAGTCATTGCATTCTCTCTGCCATACTCTACACATTTAACCTCAGACCACTGCGTATCCTTACCTCAGGATGTGGGCCACCACAGCTGGCCCGTACCAATCCCCAGCCTGTTTTCCCGACGACCGGCCACACTCCACCAACTTGTGCATGCCCAGCTGAGCAGAGGGGAGGTCCCCAAACCAGGACACCACCTTGCGGTGGTACGCCTCTGGCAGAGTGACACTGGCCTCTGCTGCCAGTCCAGTCTGGGTCATGGATGTGGCACCTGCAACAGCGTGCCTTTCCCCCTGAAGGGACGACTCCAGAGACGCCACCAACTTCTTAGCAGCATTGCTGGTCCATGATTCTGTGTCCAAAGTCGGGAGGCTCAAGGCATCGGTCCACGTCCAATCTAAGAAAGATAATTGATTATATTTCTAAATATCCCACCTGTGGACATGTATTGCTTGCCTGCAGTAGTGAACTCACTGGAAATAACAACATCATTAACATGGTAACCCAGAAATAAAATGCCTTCAATTGACTTATGATCAATAAATCAAACTTTATTTACATTCACTACCTTAATTACATCGTGCTTCTTTTATGACTAGTCATTTGCTTAACACCATATTAATAATTAAACAGAATAAGATACACAACAAACACCTCCTGTAAGCAACTTTCTAGTTTTTGTTGTTGATCAGTCATTGCTAGACAAACAGATCAGAATTCTTTAAAAAAAAAAAAAAAAAAACATCTCACTCATTCTTTTCGGTCCCAAAAAAAACAAACAAAACTTTAACTATATATTACTCTCTTCCACGGAAAAATATATCATCTTATTTCACAATCCAGATGCTGTAAGACTGAAGACACTGGAAATGTGTAGCGTTAAAGAGCCCAGTGACAGTATTTCAGCTTTATTGCACTTTACCATTGCATGTCTATTGGGCCCCTTTGGTCAGGAGATGGGTGTGTCCCGTGTTGTAAAAATGGTAGAGGCACAGCATGAGGGCATTACGATTACGACCTTGCCGAATGTCAGAAAGTATAATTGATCAATAAATATATTTAAGTGGCAATTAGTGACTTTATAGACAGAAATATCTTTAATGGCACATTTCAGACTCAATATAAGAGCAAGTTAGTACTTAAATATTGTTTTCCAAATGACTGCATAAAAATACATTATAGATCTAGTCTTTCTCTATCCATTTGCTTTTATTTTACAATCTATAGGTCATCAGATGACCATAAACTGCTTAACCCACAGAAAACCTACTTTTGGGAACCAAGTGAATTGCTGATGACCTTAACATATTTCCCAAAACAGCCACAAAAAACATACAGAACTTAGTTCGCAAAAATTCATGTAGTTCTCTAACTGACAAAAACAGTCATTTGGCGCTGGTTCTTTTCATTTAGAACAATTATTTTTGTAGGAAATCACCTGACATTTTACAGAAGTGAGATTCTTTTAGTTTCAAATTTATGGGACAGCTGCCAGGCATTTACATTTGTCTGGTTTTTGTCATGATCAGAATGATAAGATATATTTGAATATATTGCTTTTATATTTCAATTTCATTACAGATATTCAGATATCTGAAAAGGGAAGCAGAAGAAGGTACAGAGGAAGATCAAGCTTGGTCAAAAAAACAAAACAAACAAAATTAAGAGTCCAAGCAGAAATAAAATGACAAAGGCAGTTATCAGAAAAACAAACCATGAAACAAACAAGAAAACCTTGAAAAAGAAAAGAGGACAGAGAGGACGGAGAAACCCTGCTAGGGGTTTGATTGATGCTGAAGGGAACTGACCTCGGCCCAGGAAGTGGAGGAGGAGGGCCTGAGCCAGCATCATTTGGCCCGCCCTCAAAGTGCAGCCCCAGCCGCAGTCCGAGGTGAGTCCGGAGCCTCGGAGGGCGGGGAACTCCTCCCGATAGGTCAGCCACACGCGGGACGCAAAATCCTGCCGAAATGCTTCCACGTTCCCGGCCACCAGTTCATAATCTGAAGGTGCAGTGCTGGAGCTCTCCAAAGGGTCGTCAATGTCTGCAGGATCATCAGGAAGAACAAAGCACACCAACCAACACATCACAGCGGGACCTCAACAGTACAGGGACATGAAGGGTGGATATTTAAATGCCTGCACACCAGAGTTTAGCCACTGACAAAAAAAATAATAATGATCATTTACACAAAACAAATGTGTGACTTTACCTTCAGCCTTAAAATGATAGCATTTTCCCAGGAGGAAGACTGGAGAATTTCGGCTAAAATACGTCTTTGATTTCAGCACCCAGCCTATATTGTCAAGCAAAACACAGGTTAAACACCTTTTCAAGAACCCCATACCTGTGACATGGGGATTTTTTCCCCATAAAAATAACTTTGGTTAAATCCGTGGAGATGAATTGGTATGACAGGCATTGTCAGAGTAGCAAGGACAAATCAACATTTCGATGGTTATCAAGTCTTATTACAGCAGATGATGGCAAGGCATCCGTCACATGAGCCCTAACGCTCGGAGCCCTTCATCCTAAATCTCATACGCTATCTCCGCATCTACGCCACACCAACGAGATGAAAGACTGAGATGTGAGCGCTTGTTTCATGCCTCAGCGGCTCCACGGCGTCGCCACATGGCCTTCGCCTGCACTTACTGTATTTCACATTGTTCCAGGCCGACATCAATCTCGTCTTCAGTTTATCTACCTCGTCTTTATCTTTGTTTTCCATCGTGAGCGCCAAGGAACGGAACCCATTCCAGCTCTGGGTGACTGCAACCACTCTGTGAACTAACCGGTGATAATAAACAGGGTATGTTAAATAACGGCAATGGTGATTAAATAAAATATGACGCCTTGCGCTGACATTAAAAGTTCAAAATATTAATTCACCCCCTTTGCTGCAGGTTCTGGACCCCAAGTTTCAGGTTCGCTGGGGTGGTCGAGGGTGCCAATCTGGTATTAACATACTCAGGTTAATGTCAGTGCTTGTAAATGTTACACTGTGTGATGAGTTTAAATATTTATTATTTTTTTGGCGCACAGTCGCCTGGTTATGTCGCGTGTGACTTCGCTTTATGTAGCGAATTAGCATAGCATGCTAACGGGCTACTTTTATCACACCCATTTCTGGTAGAGGTAGCAGCTCTGGCTCATTACCGTTAACCTCAACTGATGTACGAACAAAACTTTACCAATAAAAACAAGGGGGAAAGACCGGTGGCCAACACCGCGTTACCTGTTCGACCACGGATAGCCGGTCTGCTAACCAGTCGCCGTGGAAATGTTTACAATTTAGGGGAAGCGCGGCGATGGGTGACGCTGTTTGCGTCATGACGCGTCATGACGCACGGAAGCGTGATCTGTGATATTGTCAACATCGCGCAACGGCTGCGCGCTTCTGCTTCTGTGAGGATGTATTAGTTTCAAAAATTTCCAGTGTCCAGAAATGGTACGTCATTATTGTTATTATTAAAGAATGGTTGTTTTTTATGTGCTGAATATAATGCTTTTATTGTCATTGCAAAAAGTAGGTACAACGAAATTAACATGCGGTAAAATATTAAAATTTAGTCAATTTCTAGGGCAGGTGACAAACAAAAATTGTAAGCTGTGGGAACAAGGGATAGATCTTTAACCCTCTATCCATCTCCATCAGCAACACACCAGTCCATCACAGGACAAGTATACGCTTGGAGCAATTAACCTGTACAGACTGGGGGGGGGAACAAGGTACCCCGAGGAAATCCGTGTAACATCATATGCAAACTGCACAAAAAACAGCGAGGGTGTGCAAATGAGCCACTGTGCTGCCAGTCTTTGCTTAGATATACAGTATGTATCTTCGGAACTACAAATGAAACCAAATTTTCAATATTTACATGCATGCTATTGCACTCTTACGGTGATATTTAATGGTGATAATGCTCCTTCTTTTCATTACTATTATTATCATCATCATCATCATTATTATTATTATTATATAATGATATTAACAACAATAATAATAACCGGTGCTAGTTGACCGGTATATAATATATTTGTCTATACTCAGCATGAATCATAAGCCTTTTGCCCTATGCCGCCTGCAATTGGCTTCATGCCCAACTGTGACCCTGTACAAGATAAGGAATTGAAAGATGGATGGAACCTTTTAACATGTTGTTTCAGTTTAGTTATGACTGGATTATGAATCTCACAGTTTAAAATGATTGGGGAATTGTAAAAATCGAGGTTACATTAGGTCTATATACAGTATATTATATATTTTTACATTGAATGAAAGTGTGAATCGTATTATAATTTCAGCCATCATTTATTATTAAAATACGGCAAAACAACAACTCAGTGTCGTATGAACATGGGTGTTGGCAGAATAATGAAAATTATTAATTTTATATGAAAGTAAACGATCGGTCTCAAGAAAAGAAAATCATGGACAGGAAAGCGCAATAAACGGAGCCCTCAGGAAACTATACTGCTGAATAAAGGCTGTCGGCGGCACGCACTTCACAGCTTATTATCCAGCACAATTGTTTCCTAACTGCTCAGGATATGAGTCATGTTGCACCAGGGCCAAAAAAATCACTGCATTATCCATCCCCAGAAGACAAGAGTTTCACTTTAGCCGGCGAAAAAAACTTGCTTTTCAAAAAACACTTTTTCACACTTATGACTTTACGACAGAATCCTCCTGCACTTTCCGATAAATCGCTGGAAACCAAGAACATCCTTAAGTTTTGTAAATATTTGAATTTGTTGCTCGATTCACTTCTCATTCGTCTTTAATTTTACGCAATAGAATGCGTGAGACGGTTTTTTTTTTTTACCGTGCGCGTTTTGTTTGGAGTTTACGGTAGCGATCCCAGTCTCTTTTTTTCCTTCGGCAGTAGCAGAGGTCTGGAGAACCAGGGAATTCAAGCAATAAGCGGCTACGGCTATGGCTGAGCGCCGCGCCTTCGCCCAGAAAATCAGCAGGTAAGGCGGCTTTGGGGCTTTCTAATGCCCGGGATTGCGCTGCCGTGCGTTCCTTAACCTCCGATTTACTACGGCTGTTCGATAGAAATGCTTCGGAGCTGCCCATTTACACCTTATACATTCCCAAATAAGGCCTAGCTGAAAAGATGCCCCGGTGACCCGCCCAGTGTCCCGAACACATATCAATATTTTTCTCGATCGCATCAATGTATCCGTCGCCTTTTAATGTAGCGAGTCGCGGAAACAATGTTTGCCCAGACGATGATATAAGCAGGTTTTCTACGGCGTGAATGCGCGGTGTAATGAAGTGTCGTTTGATAAGTCTCTAATGGGGAGGGGGTCAGGACGCGTAGCTCGGTCAGTGGGTGCCATACTGACACAGTCGCCCCCCCCGTCCCCGATCCACATGTCATATCCCCAGAATCAGGGTGGCCAACGTGTCACCCCAAACTCTCACCTCTGCTGGAAAGGCGAAAATGAAGGGACTGCGGTAATAGAGGGGGTTCCTCACATCAGCACTGAGGGTGAACAAAGGATCCCGGTGGGTAGTAGAAGTGCCGACACTAACCTGCCGGAGCAGTAATAACTGCAGAGGAATTAAAATAAATGTCATTCGCTGGGTGCTGACTTGGTCATTAAGTGAAACAGTTAAGGCAAACACCGGTTGTGTTTTATTCGTTTTTTTTCTCAGAGCATACAAAATGGCTTGCCAGTGTTACTTTATCTGCTCTACATAACAGGCTTGGTGAAGTTGCGTTGCTGGGGCAATCCGCTTTGCCAGCGGGCTGTGAAGCGCTGATAACCCGTGAGCTCTGTCCCGACACGTTGCTGTCCCGCTGCTGCGTTTTATTTACTTTAAAGCGGCAATTTGCGCCTGTCTTCCAGTGCCATGGTAAAGTAGCGAGATTCATGCAAGAATACGGATATTTATGGGATGTTTATTCAGCGTGGCACGGTGGGATTTTCGTCTTTTTTTTCCCCCAGAAACGTGTTTTCTGGCGTCTGCAACACGACCGTTTATGTCCATTTTTCGGGAACTCGTGCGTTCAGCGTTACTTCGTTTACTTCACATATTGCATTTAGTTGTTGTTGGAGATGCATTTTGCTCGTTTTATGAAAATGTAGTTAAACTTTCCTCTTGCGTTTCCCCCCTATAATAACGATGGGGGGGTCAGACCTCCATGCTCACCGAAACTCGGAGGGTTACTGATTATCTCCGCTATGACAAGCCAGAGGCGCCGAAGCTTATGCTGATATTCCTTTTAAATATAAAGGCATTTGGTCAGAAAAAAGTCATATGACAAATGATCGGTTTCTTTGGTCTTTGAACTTTTTAGTTCAACAAGCACATGTTTTGTATATTATTTTTAAAACATCTTGGATTGAAGCCTAATGTCTTGGACTGATTTAAGCATGGTTTTGGATGAAAGCCACATGTGCTATATATATATTGCATCATTCTGGGTTAGAAGCACATTTAATTTGTTTCAAATGTCTGTATGGGGGACTTAAATGCTGAAGTATATTCATATCTTTTGTGTTCTGTTTAAAAATAGTCTTCGCTTTGTCTTTAGTGAATACATCTACCCTGTTCTTTTTCTAGTTGTAATGTGGTGACACAGAAAATACATTTTTGTCTCAAATCACCGACAACCAGTATTTTCTCAAGAATGAGTGATGTGAAGTATCACTGGCATCTGTGGGACAAACTGTGAAAATTTTGCATTCACTAATGTTGGTAGTAATAATGCTTAAAATCTAGTGATTTTTAAATGCGTTTAAGTGACCGTCTTACCTTTGGGCTGCATTCTATGCTATATACGTGATATTATAATTACACAGCTGGAGAGTGATTAACTGCTTAGAATAACCTTTAAATAATAAACACTTATTTAAAGTAAGGTTATACCCAGACTGCTTGTAGAAATTAAATGCGTCACGCTATTGAAACTCTTAAATGGGCCATGTTTGCTGGGGTCATTCAGGGATCTGTCACACGCCCTTTCAGGCGGAGAGGGAACATCTTCTTCAGGCTGTGCTCAGGGTTCCATTGGTGACCATCGCAGACGCCTTTGACTCATCTGTCTGCGGGCGACCATGTGGACGCTATGAGGATAATGGGAAAAAGCTTTGGATTCAGCTGGTCGGCCTGTTTGCAGTAGTTTGTCAGAAACACTACACTCCTTCCAGTTTGGATGCTTATTTTTTTTTTACTCATTTCCATACCGTCTGCAGAGGCGCTGTACAGCGGAGGAAGTTAATATGATTGCAAGGGCCTCTGAGAGACAGGGACCCTACAATACTGGAGCATAATTGGATTGGTCTAGTTTGGGGGGCTGGGTGTGATACACTTTCAGACCCAAAATGTCAAAACAGCACCTTCGACTGTCTGTGATCTGTTTTGGTGTGTTATTCACATCAGTTGCCGCTGTATCATTACAGCGGGATGGAGCCTTTTAAGCGCCTCATAAATTAACACCCCCTGATTACACGCTGCCGGGGGGGGGGGCGTTTAAAATAAGCCCGCCACCGGACAGGATGTTGTACGGCCCAGGGTGTGAATGTTTGTGTGGCTCTAACGGTCTCCGGACTCTTCCATCATGGGGAGGTCATTTCCATAAGTGGTGTTGCCTATGTCATGTGATTTCTGACCCAATTTTAGCCTTTTAAATACTTAACCAGGTTTACTCTTCAGTGAGGTACTTTCGTATGACAGGTATTTAAAGGGAACTCTCCAGAATTGCACATTCATTTATTTGCCCAGGTAGCCGGTTTGGAGCCAAAAAAAAGGTTAACGCTGAATTGTGAACTATGAATCGCTCGCAATCGACATGGCGGCTTAAGACTTCTTTGCCAGGCTTGTGACGTGATCTGTCCTTCCCTGTGGTCTCGGAACACGCCCCATGTAACAAACAGTCGAGGTGCGAGAATCTTTTGTTGTCTTCCAGATTCATTTATCCCTGGGAATTGTTAATATCACTACTTTAAAGGCCGAAGAGGAACGCCTTCAGAAACAAAAGATGTTCCCATAAAGCAGTGTTTCTCCACCCAGTCCTTGGGGACCCCCAGACAGTCCACATTCTTGCTCTTTTTCAGCTCCCAGCACACCTGCACCAGGGATTCGGTGGTCCTGATTGGCCGGGAGCTGCGAGGGAGCAAAAATGTGGACTGTCTTTGGGCTCTCCTAAGACTGGCTTGAGAATCACTGCTTTACGGGCAAATATTTTGTTTCTGAAGGCATTTCTCTTCGGCACTTTAAACTAGAGGTCGGTGAATGATATCAGCAATCACATAAAGCATATGGAATCTTATCCTGGATAGGATCACTCCGCTTCTGAGGCCTTTGGGCCAATGCTCTAAAATGAAACACAATGGTCGCCTGATGTTCTCACGTGTTCCTGCACACAGCAGCCCCATTTCTGAGACACAAGACTGCTGGAGCGTAGGGAAAAGGCGGATGTGAGGAGGAAGAATGAGGCTCGAGGCTGAGGACGAGGGCAAGAAGACGTGGGCCATTTGTAGTGTGCTATGCTTGTTGGCAGTGAACACTGCCGTTCTGCCATAGTGCAGGACAGAGGGGGGCTTTGAGAGATGCTAACGTTTGGGCCCCCGGGGGTCTAGTTTACTCACCAATGAAGTATTTTTCTGTGGGAAAAAGGACCTTCCTCCTTCCGGTGTGGGGGGGTAAGATGATGAGAGCAGAGGACGCCTCAGCGTTTGACCTAAGCTTCCTGTTTTTATGTCAGCGAAAGACTGAAGATTCTCATTGTTTTTGCATCGAGTTTCCATAACATTTGTTACTACTGTGCTGATAATGCCTCAGGGGGGTGTGGGTTCGATTTCCCACCCTCGGCTCTCGGCATGGAGTCTTGTTTGGGTTTCCTTGGAGACATGCGGTTTAGGTGAATCTGTGTCTCTGTGTTGTCCCAGATGAGTGCTGGCATGGTTCTCCACATGCCCTGTGATGGACTGGCCACCTGTCAACCTTAAGGTTCAGCATGACGTATGGGCGGCATCGAGGGATAGATTCTTTTATGTGTTAGATTCTTGTTCTGGATGGTCATTCCTCTCATTAGCTTTTTGTTGGCTTGCTTGACATTTGCTGTTTTAGTTCCAATGTGCCACAGTCAGCGATAAGTTGAAAGGCCTTAATGCATGTCTGGACCTTGGTTGTGTGTGTGTCCAAACATCGAGCAGCGAAGGCTAACACAATGGGCCTCAATGTGCAATGGTTGCTAAGGCAATTATTGGCTCTCTAACCAAGGACTCCTTGAGAACAGATACAATAAGGGAACAGTGAATGGTGTTTCCCATTTAGCCTGTTATTAAGTTCAGTTCTCCTTTTTTTTTGTGAAGCTGCAGTGATTATTTTGCCGCTGTTACTCAGCATTGTTTAGCTCTGAATAGCTGGGCTGCATAATTAAGGTTACATCATGGAATTTCTGTTTGATGTTTGCAGTAAATGCTTTTAGTCTGGTCGATTCCAATAAGACACCGTGGCCTCACAAGTCCAGGGTTGGTGGTTCGAACTCTAACCCTGACTGTGTGTGTGTGTGTGTGTGTGTGTGTGTGTGTGTACATGATTTTGTACGTTTGCTGTGCGTTTGTGTGGGTTTCCCGTGAATATCCCAAAAATATGCAGTTTAGGTGGATTCATGTCTCTCGTATGGTGATAGTGTGTCTGTGTGTGTATGAGTGTGTCTGTGTGTGTCTGTGTGTGTATGAGTGTGTCTCTGAGTGTGTATGAGTGTGTCTCTGAGTGTGTCTCTGTGTGTATGAGTGTGTCTCTGTGTGTATGAGTGTGTCTCTGTGTGTCTCTGTGTGTATGAGTGTGTCTCTGTGTGTATGAGTGTGTCTCTGTGTGTATGAGTGTGTATGAGTGTGTCTCTGTGTGTATGAGTGTGTCTCTGTGTGTCTTTGTGTGTATGAGTGCACCCTGTGTAGCTATAGATCATGGATGGACAGACTGATGACATACTTTAAAAATGTCTTCCCATGGTGCACTAGTCTCCGTTACATTTCTCTGTCTTCTGCTGTCTTCCAGGACTGTTGCTGCTGAGGTCCGAAAGCAGATCGCCGGCCAGTATGGGGGTTCTCCACAACTCCTCAAGAACCTCAGTGTTGGAGGCAACACGGCTAGCAATGCGGTAAGCAGTCAGTGTGGCTCCTGGATCATTCTGGTGGTGTCATGTCTCTACAAAGCCTCTAGTCATCAGTGAATAGGATCAGCCACCTTCTCTCTGGCCGGTAGTGGACTCTGGGGGAGTATTATGGAGACTCTGAAGCCAACTCTGGAAACCAGGCCTGAATGAGAACATGCATTACCGGCTGGAATTTTCATTGCGTCACGTTGCTAATAAATGTTTTGCATTGTACAGTACAAACGGCGGGATTATGTTTCTTATAAAAAGTCATTTTTAATCTCCGGAAGAATTCTGAAGAGGCACAATGACTGTGTCGCAACATGTTGATGCTGTCGTGTCAGCAACATTATATTTTTGTGAAGTGCTCCGCACAAACTCGTGGAACAAACATCTGTAGTTAAAATCACTTTCATTTTGGCACGGGGCTAGCTGCTCTCAGAACAGGAGATTATGACTTTTCAGTCTGCTGCTGGTAAACGTTTACCAGAAACCCACAGCCTGAAGATGTCCTGGTCCCTTGCCGCAGCATGGCTGTGCTTCTTCCTGTCAGTTTTCTAATAAGAGGTAGTTGCTTTGAGTCAAACTCATTGCAGGTATTTATGTGTAACTCAAACACGTCTAGTAGGAACTGAGTCATGGTGTGTTTGGTATGATTTGAGTTTCTGTTCGGTTCTTGCAGTGTTTTGTGTGGCTTGTGCTGCGGTTGTTATGTGGGTGGTGTGTTGCCCAGTACATTTGGACTCTGTGCCTTTGATTGGAAGGTTGTAAGTTCAAATCCCATGGTCAGTGGAGTGGTTTTATTGAGGCCCTTGAGCAAGACCCCTAACTCCCAATTGCTTCAGGCACTGGCTGATCCTGCTTCTTTGAAACGTCACTTTGTAAGTGCTGACTCAGCGTTTATGTCGGCCATATGTAAATATAAGCTCGGGTGGGGGGGGGTGTCACGGGGCCTGGCCCGACTCGAGCTTTGTTCTTGTGGAGGATTACTACTACGCGAATGAGCCTTTCTCCTTTCCTCGAATACTTGTTAAAATTCTTGAGAATAATCGAAAATGAGACTTCGTACAGTGAAGTGTCTTTACTAAGCAGAAGAGTTTAAGAGAAGCAGCCCAACGTGTCCCCATACCCAGGTGGTGACGCACCAAACAAAGAAAACGGCGAGTTTGCATAACGTTTTTAAGCTTCCCTAAAAAGCACGTTAATTATGATTGGTTACGTCTTCAAAACCCATATCACTTATCAAAAAGCACATCAGTTATGATAGTTGATATGCTTTTTGAAGTAGTAACCAATGGAAAAGCTCATCAGTTATGATTGGTTATTACTTCAAGAGGCACATCACTTATGCTTAGTTTCCCCACCCCATGATTATCACATACCTTCTCCCTTTAATGTATGTTTTTTACCACGGCACTTTCTGCACTGCCTGACCTCCTTATTTTCCTCCACCATGGTCTGTCACAAAACCCTCGCTTTATTCATTCTGTGTTTCCTGTAGCTCAGTACTAGTGCTACTACTGTTGCTATCTTTAGCTCACGTGTCCCCTTATGCATACAAAATCTTCTGCATTAGCGCAGCTTTTCATATGGTAATATGTGATCAATAGCATGACTTCTCCTCTCGAAACAGACATTTTCCTTTCAGCCTTAGCCCCTCTTCTCATCAACCTCCTTCCATTACAGATGGCTTCTTCTCAAACCTGGTTCTCTCATTAGCTCACTGGCCCACCTGTGACCCAGTTTGAGTTAGTACAGGATGTGCTTTGTCTTCTATCAGCAAAGCAGCACATGCAAACAATTTTCTTCATGCCTAAGGCCTAAAATGTGACAACAATCCCATAATGCCTCCCTCCCCGTCCTGTCTGGTCATTTTCACATCCACGTTCGATCCAGGGCCGGTCCGCAGAGATGCATGTTGACTCTGCCTGCAGGTTCCTCTCACGGAGGCCGTGGAGCCGGTGGACTTTGAGGAGTATCTCCTGACGCACCCGCCCGTGGTGGAGTCCGGGCCGCTCCGGGACCTGCTGGAGTTCCCCCATGACGACATCGAGGTGGTATACGTACCCCGGGAGTGTCGCACGCTGATGCAGGCAGTCCCAGAGGAAGGGTAAGTGGAGGGGGGTGTTTGTGGTTGGGGGTCCCCTGAATGGTGGAGGTATCCGCATGAGGAATCTCGCCACAGCTGCCCCAGTTGCACTGGTTTCTGGGAAATACCCTTTAATTGATCATGGGAAATCAGCTGATTTGTTTGGGTACCATTAGATTAGATTAGATTCTACTTTATTGACATTTTGCAAAGTACAATTACTCACACAATGAAATGCTGTTTGCCGTCTAATCCGAAAGTGCAAAACAGCGCAAGAGCACTATAAGCAGCTGTGCAATATGACTGTTTAGTGGTTTTCATTTCATTTGCCTTTTGAGAAATTATGTTTCTTAAATTTGTATATGCAAAAAGATCTTGAGAGCTGGAATAATAGTTTTATGGCCTCTGGTTACTGATATTAACGAATACAATGATTCACATGCTTGAATTATTCTGTTACTCCTACGAATCCACATGCAAGTTGCTCACTGTTGATAAACACGCTGGTAATGTGTCATCCTTCCCTGATTTGTATTTGTGTTCCCGCAGAGACAATGATGCTCACGTCAGAGACTGTGCCAGATCCTACACCGAAGACTGGTCCATTGTCAACAGGAAGTGAGCTACCCGGCTCAATGAGTGTCTAATGTGCTGTCCTATCAGCAGTGTCTAATGTGCTGTCCTATCAGCAGTGNAGTGTCTAATGTGCTGTCCTATCAGCAGTGTCTAATGTGCTGTCCTATCAGCAGTGGCTATATAAAAAAAAAATCTTTCTGGTATTATGTTTAAAAACCTCACTGTGAGCTCACAGACCCCTTTCACTGTTCTCTGGGGTGGATGGTGTGTGGCTCAGAGGGTTAGGGTGCTATGTATGTGACCAGACGTTTGCAGGTTCAAATCCCAGTAGAGTGATGTCACCATTGGGCCCCTGAGCGAGGCCCTTAACCTTAACCTGCTCCAGGGACTGTCTGACCCTGCTTTCAGTTGTATGACACTTAAGATAAAAGCATCCTGTACATAAATAAATTGTAATTTCTTTTTCTTAATGTTGTGTAAATTATTCTACCTAGAGAATGGGGCTTCCTCAGTCAGTAACCCAAGGGTCATCAGTAATACACACAGATATGTAGCATTGCTAATTTTAGATGTATAATTTGGAAAGACATTATATTCCTAAAGCTCTCGCATTTCCCAGGAGTCCTGGAGGGTGAGGGAAAAACCCCTCTGTGGTCACATTCCATGGCTGATAGATCCTGCTTTTTAGATGGATACGAGTTGTTTTGTTGTACTTCCTCCCATCTAAATTATATAGCCGGGGTGGATTAATGTACAGGCTATCCTAGGGCAGTGTTTCCCAGCGCAGGCCTTGGGGACCCACAGACGGTCCATGTTTTTGCTCCCACCCAACTTCCGGCAAAAACATGAAGGCACTGACTAGTGGATTTCAGCTCACAAAATAGCAGAAATGGCCCACTTGAGGGCCTCCTAGCCAAGCCAGCCTGGGGCCCCCCAGAGAAGTTAATTGGCCCCTATATATAGCAGATTAACAGATTTTGATATGATGGGTTATGATATCTTCTCTTGCTTGGAACAGGTACCACAAACTGGGCACAGGATTCAACCCCAACACCCTGGATAAGCAGAAGGAGAGGCAGAAGGGGCTGCCTAAGCAGGTGTTTGAGTCTGATGAGATCCCAGATGTCAGCTCATACCAGGACGACCAGGTGAGAGTCCCGGCTGAATGGTCCTGCTTGGGAACCTCGAGCTGGAGCACGGAGTCTTGTCTGGACTCGGGGAGTCAGACTCCGTGTCGTGGGTTTTCCAGGACGACCTGAAGCGTAGGTCCATGTCCATCGACGACACGCCGCGGGGCAGCTGGGCCTGCAGCATCTTCGACCTGAAGAATTCCATGCCTGATGCCCTGCTGCCCCACCTGCTGGACCGCGCGCCCAACGAGGAGATCGACCGGCACAACGAGGAGCAGCGCAAGGCTCACCGCCACCGCGAGCTCTTTGCCCTGCACCCAGCCCTGGACGAGGTACCTCACACCCGCTGCATCACCCTCCCTGAATGGAATTACCATTTACGGATCATAAAAACAGGAAAACATTGCCATCCCAATGTCTGGCATTTTCCCCAGCCTTGTGCCCTCTGGATAGGCTCATGAAAACTACAGTAAGACTTGTTAGATCTTACTTTATATTAATTATTAATACAAAGAAAGATTAGTTTGCAAAAGTCTGTTCATCTTCATGAACTTGAACATAGCCTTTGCCAGTTTTTTTTTTAAATAAATGCACAGGCCAGTAAAAATACTTCTGTGGGCTGGATATGGCCTTCTGGCTGGATATGGCCTTCTGGCTGGATATGGCCTTCTGGCTGGATATGGCCTTCTGGCTGGATATGGCCTTCTGGCTGGATTTTGCCCAGGTCAGGGTTAGAAGATGGATGAATGGATTGTAGCGTATGATAATACCATTATCCGTACTGCCCCTTGTAGGTCAAGTTCCCCTATTAACTTGCCCCCTGTCCTAAAGGTTAGGGAAGCGTGCTTGTGATAAAAAGGTTGCTGGTTCGAATCCCCAACCAGCAAGGTACCGCCCCCACCCACTGCTCCGCAAGTGATAAATAATAGCTACCCACTGCTGTGTCACGTATAGGTTGAATGCGGAGGGCACATTCTGTTGTGCATTGTGTACTCTGGTGTGTCAACAATTACAATCACTTTCTTTCTTTCCATTTAACACTCTTGTTTATTGTGTAACGTATTATGTAATTACTGAGGTTTTATTTAACTATGTAATACATGTTTAATTAAATGAAACTATTAGTACAGATTTACAAATGAACATTTCTTGGTGTTTTTTTTGAAGGCTTGGCTTCTCTCTTTGTTGCAGGACGAGCCTATTGAGAGACACTCTGTGCCTGATGTGCCCAAAGAACATTTCGGCCAGAGGCTCCTCGTCAAGTGTTTGTCTTTGAAGTAAGTCTAGAGCTTCCTGAGCATTTTCAAAGGCGCACTGTCGACTGATCCCTTCTGCTGACTGGAGCCTTTTCTTTTCTCTCTCCCCCCCCATCCCCACCATAAGATTTGAAATAGAAATCGAGCCGATTTTCGCAAGTTTGGCCTTGTACGACGTCAAGGAGAAGAAAAAGGTGTGACGCTGGCCTTTTCTCTGATGCTGTTCTTGAGGGAGAACGTTGCTTCTCTTTTGAAATGCATTGAAAGTGTGTGAATTCATCACCAATTCAACAGACCTGCTGTTACAGGTTTAATAACATCCCCTGTCCTCCGGCCGTTAGGTCATCAGTCATTGTACGTGGGTGAAGATCCTTTCTAAACGTTTTTTGGAAAATCAGTTCTGGGCACTAGGGGGTAGCATTGACGCTTTGATGGGCAGTTTTTAGTGTTCCAGGCAGAGTTTGCTGCTTTGGGGTTTATACATCTTATAATCATTTAATCACTCTTTTGTCCACCTATTTCCCCCACTTTCAGATTTCAGAGAACTTCTTCTTTGACCTAAACTCAGAGCAGACCAAGTCCATGCTAAGGCCCCACATCCAGTCAGCTGCAATCTCCACACTAGCTCGCTCAGGTGTCTTCTCCATCACCTACCCTTCACAAGACGTCTTTCTGGTCATTAGGGTAAGCACTAGATCCCGCCTTCCATTTCTATCTTATCTCTTTCATGTCAAGAGGGTGGATTTTATTACTCTGGTTCTCTGTAACCATGAGACTTGCCAGCTTGATGTCATGGTTGTCATGGTCAGCTCTTCTCTTTGACAGACCCCTGTTCTTGTCAGGTTCAGCCTTCCTTCATACTTCAATATATCAAGACACTTGGAATTTACCACCATTTGATAGGGGTATTTTTTTTTTTGTAGCTGGAGAAGGTCCTTCAGCAGGGGGACATTGGCGAATGTGCTGAACCGTACATGGTCTTCAAGGAGTCCGACGCAGCCAAAGTACGTGTGACCCATTTCTATAGAACTGCCAGTCTCATGCCTTCATCTTCACGATTTTCTGCATGTTCATTGGTCTGTTTTCTGTTCCCGTTTGTCTTTGGTGCTGGCCTGCCTCTTGTAGAATAAGGAGAAGCTGGAGAAGCTGAGGGCCCAGTCAGAGCAATTCTGCCAGCGGTTAGGCCGGTACCGCATGCCGTTTGCCTGGACCGCCATCCACTTGATGAACATTGTCAACAGCGCCGGTAGCCTGGAGCGTGACAACGAGCTGGAGATGCCCCTCCCAGGTACTCCCAAACATGGCAGCATCCCACATTTGCTGGGGATTCCTGCCTATAGTCATGTATAGATAGTTTTATCTTTAACCAAGCTGTCTTGTCCTTTTACACGAAATAGGAGCTATCTTTTTAGAGATTGCCAAAAACTAAATAAGTAAGTATAGGACGTGGATTGGTCACACATGGCCGATACCCGATCCGTCAAATAGCTCTTGATCGGCGCCGATACAGATCCGAATTTCTGATACAATCTTTGTTATAATCAGGGCTGCATATAGCTGGTACGCAAGTACGCATTCACCTTTAAAAGCGATACGTGCGGCAATCCATTGCTGTGACAGTGTAAATACATACATATTTTATGTTCATTTGCGCTGATATGACAAGAAATTATCATGCATTTTAACCTGCATATGCTAATTCGTACTTCATTTGCGGTATAGAGGTTAAAATGCACGGTAATTTATTGTCATAGCAGCTATTTATATAGCCTATGTTTACAAATAAAAACTCATTTTAAAGCAGGCTGAAAAATTCCAAGATCCCGACCCAAAATACGGGAAATTTAGAGCAGTTCCCATTGCCATTCCTCTGTTAACAGCAAGAAAACAGACTTCAAAACTGCTGTTATTTACTTTTAACGGAGCATAAGCTCTCGCAGCACTTACGACATCGGAGCCACTTCCTGAATCTTGAGCTTCGGAGTTTTGGCTTCTTTATCTATTTAAGCAATGGGTTTTCTCCACTGTTTTCCGACCTTTTTTTAGCTACTATTAGCGAATGAGACGCTTCATGACACACCACTGACTTCCAAACATAAATAAGTTCTATTCCGATCTTTTTTGAAAATGTAAAATATACTACTACTAGCCTATTATTATGTCCTATTATTATTATTATTATTATTATTATTGTTATTATTATTGGATACGCCAGGCAACAAGAAGCCCGTGCCATTCACCCTTTTGCAGATCTCGTCTTTGTTTTGGGACATTAAAAGCCTTTAAGACTGATGTGGCACTAAATGCTGGGGAATTATTTTCTCCTTACTATGAAGTTTGGCATCTTAAACACGTGTCAGGAAATAGCTTGCAGCCTGTAGGCTACTCCTCAGCTGTCAATCTTTAAGCGAACTGCCGAAACCATAATGTGTATTTTTAGGAAGAATAATTAAATAGTAATTAAACAAAAGAAATACAGCCTTTCCAGCCCCCCCCATTTTTTCCCTTCGGATCTACATAAATCTCATTATTAATCTTTAGTGCACTCAGTTGACGGAAAACTTTAATCCATGTGTCCCAGACTTTAGAGCGTTTAATACGCGATGATGCCCGATTTGTGGCCGCCATTCTTCTACCTGTCGCTGAATGCTATTGTGCAAGAGCGAATCTCACCAGTGTGGTGTATTGGTGCAGTCTATTGGAAAGCGGTAGTATTGCACAAATAGAAAGGAAGGAAAACGTCTCACTCCGTTTAAAAATACGTCTGGCGACAATTATCGACAATCAAATTCGTCGGTGACTATTTTTATCGTCGATTTTTGTCGACAATGTCCAATAATCGTTGCACCCCTACTGTTAGCTGCTAATTGGCTAATCCCAGGTCATGTTGGGTTAACAGTTACGTGATACATCGTGACACCGTAATCATGTTATCAAACATGAGGCTATAACCCATTATAGAGCGGAAGGGCTCTTGGTCGGAGCGCCGGAATTCCAGCATCGTGGGCCGACGCTCGCTGGAGAGGACAACCAGCGGGGATGAATCCTGCAGCCTGACCAGCTTCCGGCCTGCCACCCTCACGGTCACCAATTTCTTCAAACAGGTCAGGCCTGCGTCCTTAGACCAGGAGCACACAGGCAGCTGCAGGGATCTCAAAACAATGGAGTCTCTAAACACTAAAATTCCATTGCATAATGCTCTTAAAATGGGACTGAATGTTTGTTTGGAAACCACATCCGTTTGATCAATGCTCAGTTTAATAAAAACTACTTTTACTTTTATCTCTGTAGTGGGTCGATGGCCTCACTGGCCTTCCCCTGTTCCATAGCGGAAACATAACAAGCTGTGTGTTTCTTTCCATGGACTTTTTCAGGAGGGAGATCGTTTGAGTGATGAAGACTTGTACAAGTTCCTCGCTGATATGAGGAGGCCCTCTTCAGTGTTGCGAAGGCTGAGGCCCATTACAGGTGGGAGGAGAAACGACTTATTTGACTTTTATGCAAGTTATGCAAGTGTTACTTCTGGGGAGGCGTCATACCCTGAGTGTTGTGCTTGATACCGTTTGTCCATTTCCTGTCTGTAACCCTCACAGCCCAACTGAAGATCGACATTTCCCCAGCCCCAGAGAACCCCCATTACTGTCTGACCCCTGAACTACTGCAGGTGAAGCCCTACCCGGACAGCAGGGTGCGGCCCACTCGAGAGATCCTCGAATTCCCTGCCAAGGACATCTACGTGCCCAACACTACCTACAGGTACTATCTGTGACATTTAGTTTATTTATCAGATGTACAAGAAAGGAAGATAGTCAATCACAATATACAGCTGTCAAGGAGAAAACTAGGTCTAAGTGTAGCTAGGCTGGGGTTCCAGTGAATGACTCAAGTTGGCATTGAAACAAAGGCTGTGCAATGCATTACAAGACATTTTAAGAACATATCAGAAGAACTATTCATATCAAAATCCATTGAGGGCTTAGTTCTGCTAGACAAATGCAAAATAGCAGAGCATTCAAGGTTGCCAAGAGACCATAACTGAGGGATAGTTGACACAGAAAGTTGTAAGGTGAGCTAGTTGAGGTATTTCCAGAGGATCTAGTCTTGAAACATTTCTTGGGATATGATCTCTGGATGTGGTTGTGAGGCTTGTTGAGGAAGCATTCATGAGTCAGACTTATTTTAATGTGGTGGAGGGATCACAAGGCAGCATTGGCTTTCTGACCCATGAGAACGAGACCCAATGTAAGGGCGCTTTTCCACCGCACCAGGTGCCGTACTTTTGGTTCTTTCAGAAAGTGCCAAAAGTAAAGTGTTAGTTTTCCATTGCCGTAAAAACTGGTTCCTTTTATAGATTTTCTAGTACATTATTTAAATATCAGTTTAAAGTTGACCTCCGCTGCCAAAAGTACGGTACTTGGTGTGGAGGAAATGCACCCTAAGTCTGGATGTGCAACTCAACAGAGGTAGATTCTGTACCATTCTAACACAAAAAGCCTGACTTTTAAGGGTTTCAGTGTTTGTTAATGTTCAGCTGTGGTTCTGTTTGCTGCTCATGTCACGTTACACTGAATGATACACAATTATTGAACACTCAAGAGTACTTTGGACCTGTTCGAAAGGGGAACTTGGATATAATGGTTAAGAGGCATTAGCCCAGTAACTTGTAACTAAGGAGGTTCTAAGCCGAGCTCCATATTTGTGCTTAATGTTGGTTTGTATTATAGGGAACAGGGAGCACTGGTTTGACACTTGGTGGTCATGACAACAACTGACCTCGCAGAGATCTGGTTGCTTGGCTTGTGCTGCTATTTCTATCCAAGGTTGAATATTGCGCAGAATCTCTGAAGGTCTTATCAGGAAGCCTTATTGACAAGTCCCACTCCTGCTCGGTCTTTCCCATCTGCTCTCCCTAGGACTTGTTTGTTTAAGATTCCCCCCTGATAACTGATGGATGTTTAATGACAGCATGTGCTTCTCTAATCCTGGAGCACGTTTGCATGAGTCAGCCAGTCAGGTTGCCACATTTTTCCAACATTTTTTTCCCTTCTTGCTCTAAAATTTATAGATGTAAGCATGTGAGCAGCAGAGTGACTCAGTGGGTAGCCCTGTGGCCTCAAACCTCCGGGCAGTTCAAGTCCGGAAAGTACAAATCCAGTCCAAGGTTTTGTTTCAGCCAACCAGTTGAGTATAAAGAATTAGTCACAGAGTACAAACAAAATCATGGTCTGGATTTTTACTTTCTGGATCTGAACTTCCCCCTCTGCCTCCAGGAACAGGGATTCAAATCCCTCTGCTTCCAATTGATTAGAAGATGAGTGGTTTTATTTGTATTAAATTCTTTAATCATTTTTAAAACCTGCAATACCTCTTAACATTTAATTTGGCTTGCCCAAGGGAAAGTAGTCATCCTGTAAACATTGCAGTATTCATTACAGAATATATACAGTCTGTAAGAGGAACTTGTCAGGAGTCAATATGACCCAAAAATAGCAGTACAGGATATGATTACATGCAGGCGGTTTGGAAAAAAGAGCTGTATTATTCTTACCATGTTCTTCCACTGGAAAAATAGTTTGGTATAAAGTTAAAAACAAATGAAAAACACACCTACAAAAACAAGCGTCTAGTTTACTGCAGTTGCTGTTTTGGTGAATGCGTGTCAGAGAGCACCTGTAGCTGATTGGCGTGTACCTGTAGCTGATTGGCGTGTATAGTGTGTTACAGGGGTGTCTGTGCCAACATTGTTGTGTTGCATAATGTGGAATCGCATGTACTGATAAGCAAGAGGAAACACGGTAGAGATCCGCAGTCTACCCTTCTGAAATGGTAAAACGTTCATAAATGACTTCTTTGTCCTTCAATAGCTTTCTCACTGGATCTTTGTATTACGCCAGGTGAATGGTTGAACAGGTCGTGTTTGACATTTTCCCCAGAAGCCTAGCTATTAGAAATTTGATGGGTCGATATCCTCTGTGGTTTGAACATTAAGTCCAGCGATGTAGTGAGTCAGACCCCTCTACCTGGGCTGTTCTTGGAAGTCTATTGCCCTAGAGGTTGGCAGCATGATCGTCGTCTTGCTCACTTCAGTGCTGCATGTGCCGGAGGGAGAGCTTGGTGGCCTTCAGGAAGCAGGAGTTCTCATGGTTGGGTTTCCAGTGGATTCCGCTCTTCCGCTCTTTCTGGCTCTTTGGTCTCATCCGGATGTACTTCCCATTCAGGTTGGTGTCTCCACATGGGTTAAACCACCAGCCACCTGCAAAACATCAGCACAGACATCACTCAAGGGCTCTCAGGCAGGTCACGCAAGTCTTTGGTGTCAGTGGAGGTCTGTCAGTCTTTTAAGGTCTTTTAGCGTGAGATCAGTTGGATGCCCAAACCAATATGTACGTATTTTTTTAAATGAGCGTACTTCAAAGATTATTTATTTTTTTGGATAACATGATCACCTGTGAGTTGTTGCGAGCAGTTCATTTCTGAGTTGGTATTGTTGCGATCTTTTGTGGAGAACCTCACGCTGGTTTGGTTGCTCATGACACCCAAAGATTCGCCAGACACATGCTGTAAGTGGATGGTGTACTGCGAAGAGGGGCCCTCCAAGGTGAACTGGTACTCCATGAAGTGCCTGTCCCCTTTCCAGTCCTCCAGTTGTACTAGGAGAATCGACTCCCCCTGTCTAGAAATGGTGTGGATCTTCTCCAGGCCCAACCAGAACTCACCTGTAACACATAAGCCAGAGTATCACAGTTTATTGTCAGTATGACACTTTTCCGTTGCTTGCTATGAGGAGTTGGGTCATGGGCAGCCAAACCAGACAGATGCAAAAACAACCCTGGCCTCTTACATCATGTTGTCGTGCCAAGTCATGACTGATGCTCTGAATGAAGGCCAAACAGTCCATTAGTTGTCCCTCTGGCAGCACAGAGGTGCTATGGCTCCCTTGATGTTACGGCAGAGGACGTCATATCGACGCCTCATTCTCTTTCTAGCTAGAGGTGTCTGGGCTTTCGGAATGCATTCTCATTGTGTCTGTTGGCTGTCCTCCAGCTTGCCTGATGCATTTGCTGCTGGTGGTTCGTCAAACTGAACAATAGAGGCAACCGATCTGTCAGCTGCTGCCTTTTAAGTTTACGGATGTACTTGTAGCGTGAGAGGAAGTGCTCGAGTGTTTCGGTGGCTTTTAACGAGACCCTATGATGGATGTAGAGGCATGAAAAACATTTGTTCCTAATGTCCCTAACTGCCCTTTCTTATTGAGTTGAGTGTAAATCCCATTTTGATTGTTCTGGTTGAAGAGAAGATGGATATAAAGTGGAATTTTAGAGCCATGAAGTCCTGACAATGGTCCAGGCTAATCACTTACCCTTGAGATCTCCAAATCCACTTTCATACTTCTCCCAAGTTTGATCGAAATCCACCGACCCATCCTGTCTGCGCTGTATGACAGTGACCCCTCCATCTGTGTGCCAGGTGGTAAAGTGAAAGATAATTAAGAGGAGGTACCATCTGAACTACAAGTAACTGATCCTCAATACCCACAAGGCACAGTGGGGTGTACCGATGATTTCTGCATACCAAAGGTTCCTCTTTCTAGCCTATTTTAAATGATCTCCTGTAATCTTGGTATAGATTCTTCTATCTCACTTACTTGTGGCGGGTCCCTGGATTTGCTTCTATGAGTCTGAGTGTACTTTGATACCACACACCGTGAATGTGTGCAGGATGTGTGTTGTCATTTTGAAAGACACAAAGGTGATGAGATGAATGTTTTGGTATCTCACCGGCAGTGATGTCGCAGTACACATTGAATGGCTCTGATTGATTGGCCTTTATGGAATACACCCCGCTGTTCCTCTCTCCTCTGTTGAAGACCTCCTTACAGTCTGCCGGAAGATCTATGGTACAACCCAATGCCTCACCAGTAGCTCACCAAAAATGAACACTTAGTTGCATTTAAAATTGAAGTACATGCTTCTTAATTTATTTAAACGTACCCATCGTGTGAAGGCTGGTATTTTTTGAGCTGTTTGTGAGGTACTCTGAGAGATTCTCTGGTATTCTAGAATTTTGTTTTTCCAGTGTTTCTTGGAAAACATCCGTGTTAAGCTGTAATGACGAGAGAAGTTTATTTTGTCTGACATTGAAACAACTGACTGATACAACTTGAGACAAGTGACAACAGCATTCTAGCAAGGTCCATCACAGCTCATTGGAGGCCCTTAATATAGACACCTGGGAGAATTGTGAAATGAGACATTTATCCTACCTTTTCTTCCAGGTTTTTGATCTTTCGGCTTTGATAGTCAAGCTGATCATGTTGCTCTTTGACTGCCTTCAGCAGATTCTGGATGTTCTTCTCCTGGGTCTCAATTATTTCCTGGAAATTGTGGCAAAAACATTGAGTAATTCATAAAGAACATTGTATTAGATTTTAGCTTTGTGGCTAATGCTTATCCAGAGGGACAAGTGTTACTGAATTTCTGCAGTTGTTATGGTATTATTAGGCCGAGGAACTTGAATAAGTGTCCAAAAATATCCAGTGGTTATTAGTCCATGTCCTTAACCTTTCTGCTACTCACTCTTGATGGATGAAAATCCAGAAATGCTAATGGATTTTAGTTGTTAGCATTGCCCGGAGTTCATTTGGTGAACTGCTGTCGAGTGAATAATGGAGTGCTCTGAAACATATTTATCCTTGTTGTGCATAAGTGATCTCACCTTCAGGGCAGTGATCTCCACCAATTGGTCTGGGGGGATTATATTTTTGGAGAGGCCTGTCAGCTTCTCCTCCAGCCCCCCTACCTTAGTCTGGAGCTGGCTACGTTCCTGCATGATGTTGTCCACCTTGGTGTTGATCTCCAGCGAGAGATTCTTAATCTCCTCATTGTTGGCTTTGAGGAAGGTTGTGGTCTTTTTCAGCTCCTCCTCTTCCTCCTTGATAACGTTGGTAACATCGGAGAGCTGGCTGAATGAGCGGTCGAAGATGCTGAGCTTCTGAAAGATGTCGTTGATCTGGCCCTTGGTCTTTTGCACAAATTCTTTGAGACTTTGGCCCAGCTGGAGCAGCCCCGTCGCCAGCAGTTGGACGTCGTCGAGCATGGCAAATCGAGATTTGCTCTCCGCTGCGGGTCGTGCCTCGCCTGACAGGGCTTCCATGCTGAGGAGGGCGAGGAAAACTAGGAAACACACCAGCTTCATTTTATCAGGGTTGCCCGCTCTGATGTTAAGAGCCTGCTACAGGAGGTTCTGCCTTTCTGTGGAAAGGATGACAAAACAGCTGGCTTGGTTCCTGTATATACTGGGTCACAGTTGGGGGGCGTGGCCTATGGGATGGGTTGATGGGGAGGGGGGGGGTTGGCTGATGATTAACCCAGCTATGCCTGAACTAATACACCCTCTGTCGTCTCAAGAGTTTCAGTCAGTGTGAGCAATTCACACAAGTAACATTTACCTCCCTTGTCCATCTGTTCATCTTTTAAAGATCTTGGGAGGGAAATATTAATAGCACTTTGTGTCCTAAGTGTGCTGATCATAAGCTCGGCTCATCAATAATGTACCATGTACTTGCCTTGGTTTGACTTGTCTCTTAGTCAGGCTCAAAACCCTCTTAGCGGTGATTTTGAAACCGCTTCCGTGTCTGATACGTGGGAGCAGCACTTCAGAGGTGCCATGGTTGTAAGCTGAATTTACAGTTATTATCCTTGGGTTTCTCTGGCACTAAAAAACCTCTTATGGTGTGTAGTGAATGGTAAACAGGTATGGAAACACAGATAAAAATGTCATTCTTATGTTTATCTGACGTGATACGTATCTGTCCAGCTGTGGCGCTGAAATGAGAGCGCGCAGAGCCGAGGGGACTCTCCTTAGCATGACGTATTTCCTCATGTCTTATTGCACTTCACTCAACTTTTTTTTCCTTATGTTTGGCCTGTACACTTCAAAGAAGTAGAAGTCAGTGGTATTTTTTTCCCTAAGCTGAACGTTCACTTCTACAGGAAGTGATTTGGAGGTGCTACCCTTCTGTTTTTGAGCAATTGTAGCTTTTGGCCTTGGTCTTATTATATTGTACCTCTGTACTTTATACATGCAGGAAGCGGGCAGTTCCTGGTGTGCAGACAGGATGAGGGCCAGTTCTCTCCTTTCACCCCTGTCTGTGGGGGTGGATACTTTAGGTCCAGAAAGTCAAATTCCAGACCAAGATTTTGTATTTACACACCAATTGAATACTCTGTGACTGTGACTCTTTATATTCAACTAGTTGGTTGAAACAAAATCTTGGTCTGGATTTCTACTTTGTGGACCTCTGCCCCTCTGTTGGAGTGGTGTATCATAACCTTTGTGGCCTGTCGCACAGGACACCTCAATAACCCCGGAGTACCAGAAATTTCAGTACTATCCTATTGAACTCGCTACCTTTTTTTAGAAAGTGATTGATCTTGTATATGAGATGGGAGGAGTCACTGAGTTGGATCCAGCCTTAGAGGCAAAGGGCATAAGAACACATGTCCTGCTGAAAGTCCAAGTCACAGTGACAAGCGGATTAACAGACGTGTGAGTATGAGGGCTTGTTCTAGCACGCAGTTTGTGACTTGGATCAGTTGAGCCTCGTTTGTTGCACATGTGGGACTCAGCAGGTTAGGACACTTGTGCCTGTGATCAGAAGGTCGCTGGTTTGAATCCCAGAATATGCAGAGTGATCTCACCATTGGGCCCTTGAGTAAGGCCCTTAAGCCCCAATTGCCCCAGGGGCTGGTTGACCTTGCTGTCTCAAAAAAATGCATGATGCTTTAGATAATATCATCTGCTAAATGTAACATGAATGTTTGTGCATTATGTTTTGAATCGGACCGTCATAACCTCTCACACCAGCGCATCCCACAACACAAAAATATGTAATAAATCTCACTCACCGCCTTGTCTAATATATCCTAACCTTTTCCAGTTTCTTTCACTGGACTTGGCCCTGTCCGTTTCTCTTATCGCCTATTTCTCTTATAGCCCATTTGCTTGCTTCCTCTGCTGTTCTGGCAAGAGATCTACAGTCATCAAACCAGCCTGAAATAAACTATCTATCTTGGGCACAGCTGTCTCTAATTGCCCTGCTCTGCCCTGTTGGGACCTTCTCCTCAAGTGTTGAGTCTCATGCACCTGTTGGACTGGATGGAGAACGTATCTGGCATTTAGTGGACGTGAGGTCGATCCACTCGAATGTTCATTTTATAATGAGTCTCTCTTTTTAAATTGTTTAATGCCGGTGTTTCGCTGACACTGACTACTATGTACTGGGCACAACTCTTTTTCATGCTAAGCACTATTCTGTTCATACTTATGTGGCAGGGAAGGGTATTTTAACTACAAGAAGCAAGCCATTGTGATCTAACATCCATGCATTTTTCCCTTTTCTGTCTCGGGGTCCGAGGAACACTCCTCATGCATTGGACACCAGGGTGCAGTAGTTCAACCAACCAGCCTGGTTTTTAAACCCTCGAATCTTGTGTCATTAGCTGTCACTCTGGTGCTTGTTTGATGCTTCTGCTGGCCAGCAGGAGTGTTTCACAGGGTACAGAACTAAATACGAGTTGCTATGCCTTTCCGGTCCTCAGCACTGTGGGAGGGGTGACTTTTCTTCTGTTTTTAGACTCAATAAACGCTGCTAAATTACTGCTTAACCAGTCGCTTAGGGTCCACCACCAATCGTCCCAGCATGTGGTTTCGAAAAGCCATCCCCAGTGCCTTGTTCCCCTGGAAACCGCCGGTGGAACATTCCTCAAGCTGACATCAGAGCGGCGGCTAGCAAGGCGAACCTTTTCAAGTGGGTCTGGAGACGTCCACGGATGCCTGGGTGCAGCTGGGGTAGATTAAAGCAAGCCTGCTGTGCCGCCCGCTTTCCCACACTTGGCGGGGGGGGGGGAATGACGTGCAGCGGGGGGGGGGGGTCTCCATTGGGTCAGCCAGGCCCATCTCCCCCCCCCCCCCCGCCAAGTCCAATGGTGCAGCACGGGCAGCCTGCTGGACAGCTCGTAGCTTCCTGTGGGCTCTAGCCTGGCCCACAATTCCTAACCCTGCACATTTAACCCAAAGCAGTGTGTGCAGACAGTCAGGAGAAAGCATGGGCTCTTTTCTATAGGTCTGTTGCTTTAAATGAAACTTTATTGGTAAGAATTTTTACTTTACCCACTTAGACTCCTAAAGGTTTGAGGGCAAAGCTTGGTCAGAGAGCAGGGTCAGCCGATTATCTGCCCCCCCCCCCCCCCACAGGCGCACCAGTGATATGATCACTCTGCAAGCCAGGGGATTCAAACCAACAACCTTCTGATCACAGCCATAGAGCGTGTGCCTGCAGAGCCAAGTGCCCTGTGTTCTTTCCAATCTCCCTGCCTGATGTGATTGTACCATCTGTACCAGTCAGGAAGTCTGGTTAAAAACTCCAGCTGGATGAGTAATAGAGGAATCCTCGCTCTCTGTTTCACGGTGCGTATCTGCTTGCCGTGACCCTCCCCGGATGGGCCGGTTTTTACTTTAGCGGTGCAGCTGATGCACTTTGCCCCGAAGGCACGAGAGCAATGCCCCTCAGGACCCTGAACCCCATTGATACCAGCTTCAAGGACTCAGCAACTACCAACTAACCCCCCCCACCCCTCCCAACAATAGGATTGAACCAGCAGTAGCTTTTGGTTTATAAGTCCAAGTCCTAAACCAATAATGTAGAGGTGGTCTGTGAATATAGATTAGCAGGTATAATAAGACAGCAGTGAGGTGTTAATCATGTATAGAAAATGTCTTTTTTTTTTGTTGCTTTGTCTACTCTGTTTCTGCCTGGTTTATTAACAGTTTTAATTTAAATATTTTTTCTGAATTTTCCTTCAGGAATCTTCTGTATGTCAAGCCACAAAGTCTGAACTTTGCCAATCGCCAGGGTTCAGCGCGGAACATCACCGTGAAGGTGCAGTTCATGAATGGGGAGGACGCCAGCAACGCCATGCCGGTATGTTCCGGAAGAACTGGTGCCGAGGGCATTCCGGATTTCCAGAGGTGTTTCTCCAGTTGGGCTCTACCACAGCGCCCCCTGGCTGACCGTACCATTACGTGTTCTCTCTCCAGGTGATTTTTGGGAAGTCCAGCTGCTCTGAGTTTACCAGAGAGGCATACACTGCAGTGGTGTATCATAACCGGTAAGCCCCCCCCCTTTCTGTTTCCATGGGAACGCTTTCCTGTGGCAAGTTAGTGACACTGTCTGGTTTCTAAGGATGGATTGACACAATGGACATGTATGGATAATTTCCACTTTCTTTGGTCTGATTTTTCCTCGCTGGTGTTTCAATATGCTCTGTCAACTTTAAGGTCCCATTTGTAATCTCTCCAGTGGGACTGAAACTTGAGTACCTTTTATCTGTATGCATGTTTATTTATGGTCGAATATATAATTTCGCTTTGTACTGGTTTTACACTTTGATCAGAAGATTTTAAGTGAGGTCTATATTTAGTCACTGAGAGTGTATTTGAATGCTCTTTGCAAAATTTGAAAATCCAGTTTATATGATGCCTTCAAAGATCAGGCCTGTAAGACTTCCATTAGACGCCTACTTATTTACCTTTATTGTATTTAACAGACACTTTTGTCCAAAGCAACGTACAAGTAAGGCAAACAGACGTTACAGACATATCTGCAATAAGGAATTTGCTCTGCATAAGTGCGGTTAGGCTGAGATTAGAATGATTGACTAGGTACAAATGTAAGCTGTACTGGAACAGCAGCTGCACAGCAAGTTCTATCAACGCAAGAACCTAATAAGACTGAGTTTTATTTACAAAAATGTTCAGAATGAAAAATGACTGGTTCAGAGAGAGAACCAGTCAGATTACAGAGGAGGTGGGTCCAACCAACTCAGACATCTGACTGGTTGGACCCACTTCCTCTCCTATGAGCAGTTATTTAGCATTACGAGCATTCAGCGAGTATGGAGTGGTATTAAGTAATTTAGCTAGAGTCGTCCATATTCAATTTGTTGATTTCTTTTCTTCTGCCCCCTGGATGAAGCTCGAGTGGTGTGTTGTCTACTTGATATTAAATTTCTGCCAGCGTGGCACTTTAGTCACAGCCTGGCAGGAGGGCTGTCCATCGTGTGGTTCGTCTCCTCGCTGTTAATCACCTGCTTGCTTTCAGATCCCCCGACTTCCACGACGAGGTGAAGATCAAGCTGCCGGCATCGCTGACCGACCATCACCACATCCTGTTCACCTTCTACCATGTCAGCTGTCAGCAGAAGCAGAACACACCCCTGGAGACACCAGTGGGATACACGGTATCATGTGACTGCATCCTGGTCATGTGACTGCATCCTGGTCATGTGACTGCATTGCAAAGTGGCAACTTATTGCTTCGTAATTTTAACAAAGTGATATAGCTCATTGGTCTGACAGCAGGATGTGTTAAGTAATGTGTTGGTCTCTTCCTTCTGCTCCTCCAGTGGATCCCGATGCTTCAGAATGGGAGGCTGCGGACGGGACATTTCTGCCTGCCTGTGTCCCTGGAGAAGCCCCCCCAGTCCTACTCAGTTCTCTCTCCAGATGTGAGTGAGAGCCTCGCGTCCGTGTCTGAAACAAGCTTTGTGATTGGCCGAATTTTGGGGTTCTCCTCTGTAAAATCCCCCCAATATTTTCCTAACGCCACTGTTCAAAATATGCCATTAATGATTAAAGCATTAATTCTGTGATTCCGGAACCTGTGTAAATTTCACCTGTAAATTCCCTAATATTTGAGGCTTGACTTCCTTTTGGTCTTGCTTGGAAAACATCACTTACATGGAATTTATTTGTGTCTAGGTTCCTCTTCCTGGAATGAAATGGGTGGATAACCACAGAGGGGTCTTTAACGTGGAAGTGGTGACTGTTTCAACCATCCACACGCAGGTATTTCCCTGTAGGAGCAATGATACTTGCCGCATAGCATCTTTCCGGTTTGTCAGCACAACCCTACAAAGGCAAAACAGTATAAAAACAAAACAATAATTGAGAAGAGGGGCTTCAAAGCTTTTTGTTCACCCTTATGCGTTGTAGGTAGGAAAATTTATAGTGTTTTCTTGAAAACCAAGCATAGCCGAGCTAAGATGTTTTATCACACAATAAAGCAGACTGAGACCGAATTTTGGTCACAACACAGATTTGATAAAATATAGTTAGTGTTTTGCCTTTGTATGGATGAACTAGTCATGTAATTGTCTTTGTTACAAACTGCATTGTAACATGCACTGATTGACAGATCATGTGACTGTTTTTCATCCCCTTGTTAGCCTGCAGAAAGATGTTCTGCATCCTGGTTCTTCCTGTTTGACCTTTGTATTCCCCGTACCTCTCCAGGACCAGTACCTGGATAAGTTCTTTGCGCTGGTCCACGCACTGGACGAGCACATGTTCCCTGTACGCATCGGCGACATGCGCATCATGGAGAACAACCTGGAGGCGGAGCTTAAGGCCAGCATCGCTGCCCTGAGCTCCTCCCAGCTAGAGCCCGTCGTGCGCTTCCTGCACCTGCTGCTGGACAAACTGGTGCTGCTGGTGGTGCGGCCACCGGTCATCGCGGGGCAGATAGGTACACCTCTGGCTGTGTGTGTGTGCGTTTTGGTAATTATTACATTGTGGGGACAAAAACCTGTAACTTGTGGGGACATTTTTCTGGTTTTATAAAAATCTATAACTGCAGTCAAAAAAGTAACTATCCCTGTAGTCTTGTATTTTGTTTGGTCACTTAAGGCTAGAGCTGGGTAGGGTTTAAGGTTGTCATTGTTGGGATTAGGGTTTTTCCCATTGAAATGAACAGATGGTCCCTCCCCAGAAAAGATAAAAATATAAACGTGTGTGTGTGTGTGTGCAGGTGAGATGCATACATCTCCACCTGTGTGTGGTCTTCAGAATCATACGCTGGCTCAGTAATTCCGTGAGCCGTCAAACCCCAACATGACTGCAAATCGCCTTTATAGCACTTTGCCGGTGTGACTCGCGCCTGTCTGCTCGCAGTGAACCTTGGCCAGGTTTCCTTTGAGGCCATGGCCTCCATCGTGAACCGCCTGCACAAGTACCTGGATGCCCAGGACCAGCATGGCCGCAACAGCCTGCTCTCCTCCTACATCCATTACGTCTTCCGGCTGCCCAACATGGACCCCAACTCGCCCTCGCCAGGTGCCCACCCGCCCCCCAGTAAAACCTCATAAATGGCAGTGGTGTAATCCTGCACACCACCCCCCCTGCCCGAGGGTATCCATTTCCATCGCCCGGTCAGTCCACAAAGACCCTAAAATCCATAAATCCATACTGAAATGTCTGTCCTCCTCTGACCTTGCGGGCCACACTTCACCAGGCCACACACAGCCTGTGATTTCTCATTTTCCACCATGACGGCAAACCCGCGTGTCTGACCACATCCTGACCGTGTTGGTATGGCGTTTATGGACATGCTTGTGATAACATCTAGCCCTTGCGCTGTCGTGTACAGTATGTCGGTACGTCTGTGATGGAGGCCTCCACGGTAACACCCTGTATCTCTGTCCCCAGGACCAGGGGGGCTGGGGGGGTCAGTCCACTATGCCACAATGGCGCGGTCAGCAGTCAGGCCTGCCAGCCTCAACCTCAACCGCTCACGCAGTCTGAGCAACAGCAACCCGGACATTTCCGGAACGCCGACCTCTCCGGATGATGAAGTTCGCTCCATAATTGGGAGTAAGGTAAGGAATGTTCAGTGCTTTTTATTCTTAATGACCTGTACAACTTTCCCAAAAGATTCAATGGTCAGCATAAGGTGATATATCTGTTGACTTTGAAGCACCTAAATTTGATTTTTACAGATTTAATACATTTTTTTAGACATGTTCAGATGAAAAAGATTTTCTTTATACATTTTTGCAAGGAACTGTGCGGAAGTTTATGCATCAGATCCGTGTGATATTACATTCATGTGAACCTGGGAGCTGAAGCAGAGAACGGCAGGTGGTGTAGCGTAGCATTCTCAGTAACACTGGCACAAGTCAGTCTGACCACCTTCCGACCATGACAACATAGTTGCCAGCTAGTGGTAGCATTGGCTAATTTATGGGTTGTTAGCATGGCTCGTGAATTCATTCGCTTTATTTCCTAACATTAACATAAAATGTAACTAAGGCTATGTTTATACCTTTGGGTAAAGGCTCAATTCCAGTTTATTTTCCATATCAGGTATTTCATGCAAATGTTTATTGTGATTGCTAGTTAATATGCACTGTTCCACTGTGTCCCAAAGTCACAGTCTATTTTGCCATTTTAATAGGTTGATTTTAAAAGATTGGGCTAGAACACATAAGGTAATGAGGTTGTGAAATTTTGGGTTTTGTTTTTTTTTTCCATCTTGGAGATCTTGGAATATCTTGGATATTGGAATAGGGTCTATATAAACCTGGCCTTGGACTGCAGGGGACAAACATTTCTGCATTGGTCCCTGTTCATTAAACAAGTAACTTAAAGGAATTTAAGGTAGACTGGAAAGTGTGTAGGAGCTTAGCCTACTGGACCAGAATTTGGAACCTCAAAAGCCCTTTTGTAACCCTGAAAGTCTTCATCTCTCCTGTTATGTTCTAGAACCCTATTTGGTCAAATTAATGCTTTTTCATTTCCTGTGCTGCTGGATTTTTCTTCTGTTGACTTACATCATACAGTAATTATTGTCTCTGAGCATTGCTCTGTTCCCCCAGAAGTGGGCACTTTCCTGCTCTACACATGCAGTCTCCATTTCGACGCTTTATGGCTTGAATGAGGGGGGTCCCTTTCCTTGCCTTCACATGTGTAGTGTAACTCTGGCCTCCTATCAGCGGTTATGACCTTTAACCTCTTGCTGTTCCCTTACCTGTGCTACGCTTGCCTGCCCTCCTCCCCCCCCCCCTCACAGGGCTTAGACCGCTCCAACTCCTGGGTAAACACAGTGGGGTGCAAGGGCGCCCCCTGGGGATCCAGCCCTGGCTCTGCCTCCGACTCCTCGCAGGTGGTTCATTCCCAAAATCATATCACCACCACCAGCATTGCCTAGCACCCTCCCACTCTCTCACCACCAGACCTGAGGGTCCCTTTTGACCCCTTAACCGCCTTCCGGTTGAGAATTTCCTATCTCTATTACAATGAGTGTCCCAGAAACCTGCTTGGTCCAGGCTGTTTTCATGTTCCGCGGAATGACGCAGCCTACCTGTGTCATTCTTGATGGTCCCCTCTCAATTTGTGGATCAGATGCCTCATGATGAGGTTACAGTGAGGGTGGTGTGGGGTTCTGGGTGTGGCTTGGACAGCTACACCAGCCTGGTGGCCCTCCAGAACTAACAGTTGTAGTTCTTCATGCTTACCAGACTCAAGCTTCCTGCAGAGAAACAGGAAGTGAGTCCGTGAGCATTCCCAACCTCCATCTTACCCATCCACATAACCCACGGCTAAGTCTGGCCTCTCATTCCGAGTCGGCGGTTCAGAGGTTAACACATCCTCCCCTCCTGCTTCCTCATACCACTTTTGCCACCCTTATTAAAAAAAACCCTTCTCCTTCAAACCCACGCATGGATTCCTGTATTTGTGCCTCTCGCTGTTTGGGTCGTGCATGTTGGGGATTCTGCATGTGTGCCCCCCACCCTATCGCTCACCCCCATGCTCCAGGCATGCTCTCTGTCATGCTTTGCCGTGCCCCGTGTCTGTGACGCTGAGTGTGCTTGGCGACATGTCTGCTCTGTGTTGGGCCTGTGGCCGTGTCTGTGGTCGTCTGTGGTCTTTGAGCCAGCGGTTCTAACTGGTGTCGTTAAAGCTCAGGTGTCCCTCTCCCTTAATCTCCGCCGGATCTGTGCGTCTTACACTTTTGCCCTGTTGCATTTTGACGCTTCACCCCATTCAGTGTGTACTCCAGCATCCTGCAGTGATCGGATGCTGTGGAAGTTTCTGAGTATTTGTGGATTGGAGGCCTTGTCGTTCTGTGTCGCTTTGTCGTTGTTGTACAGGAAATGTTTGGTTTAGGGCTGATGTTCCTGCGTCTGTGGTTACAGACACGCCTGTACACTAGTGAAAACATGAGTGGCTCTTTAGGTTTCCGTTTTGATTACATTGTGGTTCATCCGGATATCTGGTGCTGCATGTGGGCATGCATGTGATTGCTGTAACAGTAGTAATGTATTTGTGTTTTTTGAATGGTTGCATTTTGAGTCCTCGACCCTGCCCATCTCAGGCAACCGCACAAACGGGTTAAGATATCGCTTTTAATCAGCTACGTACCAGTTTGTGCTGTTTTAACAAGATGGACAAAATGTTTGAAGTCACTTCTGAATACTGGAGTTACAATTAGGAATGGTTAACTCAAACCACAGTTTAGTTAATGGAACATTAAAGACAGATGTGCAAGTGTATTTGTGTATGTTTGGCCAAAGGCAAATCTGTGTGTGTGTGTTTTTCCATGGGTACAGTTGCTGGGTTTCTGTGTTTGGTCACTGGCAGTCACAGTGTGTGTGTGTGTGTGTGTGTGTGTGTGTTTCGTCAAGGGCATTTGCTGTGTATGTAAGTTTGGTCGCAGGCAGTTGTGGTGCGTGTGTGTTTGCCCAATTGCGGTGCGTGTTTGACCAGTCTCAGTATGTCTGTGTGAGTTTGGGTGGCAGGTCGTGTATGTCTGGCAGATTGTGTCTGACACGGGCTCCGGTTTCCTCTCTAATCTGTTGCCCTTCATCCATCTCCACCCATAGGCCATGGAGCGTGGTGGCAATCGCATGTCATCGCACGCTGAGACCGCCAGTTTCTTGCAAACATTAACTGGACGTTTGCCGACCAAAAAGGTAGAACACCAGAGCGGGGCGGGCCGGCCAGCCGGCCTCCCTATGCCACGCCCCTCTGTCCTCATGCCTGCCTCTATCTGTCTCATACATGTGCCTGGTAGTTCTGACCACCTGGCCAGGTGTCCAGTAAATCCAGTAAAAATGAAGCCTTTTTGAATGTGTTTAGGAAATGCAAAATTTGAGGTCTGGGCCAAATTGTCCAGGAGTCACTGAAGGCTTTGTTCGGATGAAGGTGCAGTTCCTCTAGGACTTTAACCCTCTGGTTTTAATGAATCCTCCCCTTTCAGAACTTGGTTCGACGTTTTGAGACTCTGCAGCCAGTGGATTGTGACCTCTTCATTTAAATCCACCCTTCTCACTTATGTAGGGATAAGTAAGAATATGTGAAATGACTGATTCATTTTTCCCCAGGAAGTGTTGATATCACATGGTATTGGAGAGGTAGGTGACTTGCCGCTGTTGCACTGTTGTTCTTCATGCCATATGTATCCATTACCAGCTGTTCCATGAAGAGCTGGCCCTGCAGTGGGTGGTGAGCAGCGGAAGTGTCCGGGAAGGTGCCTTGCAGCAAGCCTGGTTCTTTTTTGAGCTTATGGTAGGACTGGGAAAACAATGCCCTTGTTCCTAAAGTCCTCTTTCTTCATGAACCATTGGCTTCCTCCAACCGCTTCCCCCTCCTATATTCGTAGGTCAAGAGTATCATCCACCACCTGTACTTCACTGACCGGCTGGAATCCCCACGGAAGAACCGGTTCCCCGAGCGATTCATGGATGACATCGCGGCCCTGGTTAGCACCATTGCAGGTGACATCGTTTCCAGGTTCCAAAAGGTGAGTGGGGTGAGTTACACCAGGACTTCATTTTTGGAGACGGCTCATATGTTTGCGATGTGACCTTTGACCTCATCTCTCTTTAGGACCTGGAGCTGGTAGAGCGATTGAACAACAGCTTAGCATTCTTCCTCAATGACCTTCTTTCAGTCATGGATAGGGGCTTTGTGTTCTGCCTCATCAAGACCTACTGGAAGCAGGTAAGAGGATCAGAGGGTCCCCTTCGAGCCCTGAGCATAAGAGGTGTCCTTCCTTGCATGTTTTCTGACCATTTGCACCATTCCCCACAGGTCTCCATGAAGCTATATGCCCTACAAAACCCTACGCTGGAGTCCCTCCGGCTGGACTTCTTGCGAATCGTCAGTAGTCATGAGCACTATGTGACGCTCAACCTGCCCTGCAGCCTCCTCACGCCTCCTGCCTCACCATCCCCCTCCGTCTCCTCCGCCACATCGCAGGTGGGCTGCCTCTTGCCGGACGTACCCATCGTATCAAATCCATGTGATGTCTGACCTGTGGAGCATTGCTCCTGCAGTGTGTCTGATGGGTTTATGCTGTTACTCTCAAGCATTCTTGAGCTTGTTTGAGTTTGTGTGGTGTTCTTTGTGTTTGCAGAGCTCTGGGTTCTCCACACATGTCCAGGACCAGAAGATCGCCAATATGTTTGAGCTGTCCGTGCCATTTCGGGAACAACACTACCTCGCGGGGCTGGTACTCTCCGAGCTGGCAGTCATTCTTGACCCAGAGGCAGATGGGTCAGTACACTGGCGTGTGTTCATGTCAACCATCTGTTTGCTCACCCATGCATCCATCCAGGATGATACTCATTCCTACTCCAAACAAGCTCTGTGTGTATATATATTTCTTAATTGTTTCTGCCCAATGACCTCTCCAGTGTTACCAGTTGGACTGTTTTTATTTGGGGCCTCTTTAGACCCAAATCTCTGTCTTTGACCCAGTGTCCTGCTATTATTGTGTAGGATGTTTGGTTTGCACAAGAAGGTCATCAGCGTGGTGCACAACCTGTTGTCCAGCCACGACTCAGACCCCCGGTACGCAGATTCTGAAGTCAAGGCCCGGGTGGCCATGCTCTATCTGCCACTCATAGGCATTGTCATGGAAACCTTGCCCCAGCTTCACGACTTCACGGGTAAATACTTTTGCTTGCAGTAAACAGTTTGGCGTGACCTGCTGGCAACAATGAACTGTAGTAGTACTCACTCGGACTGTTTACCTTTTTTAGAGTCTCACAACCAATGGGGGCGTCCCGGCACCACTGGGGTCGATGACCATGAGGCCGATGCAAACAGCATGATCAGCCAAACTGTGGCTATGGCCATCGCCGGGACGCCGGTGCCCCAGATGTCTCGGCCCAGCAGCTTCCTACTGAACCCGCAGGTAATGGCTTACACTGTAGCTTCGTCTCATTAGCTTCCCAATGATCAAATCTGCTATTTTTCATATTTTACTTCCATTTGACTGTTTTTATATCTTAATCAATCTTAAATTGACTGCTGCTCATCCTTCATGATGGCTAGTCACCTATGTCTGTGTAGACTACTGTGGAAGTCCGAGATGTACTCCAGCATTGTGCGCCTCGTGAAAAGTAACCTCCACCCACCCTTATCCCCAGAACACTCGCCAGCATGGCTCCTTCTCTGCCGAGTCCAGCCGTAGCCTGCTCATCTGCCTGCTTTGGGTCCTCAAGAACGCAGATGAGATGGTCTTGCAGAAATGGTTCACAGACCTATCTGTCTCGCAGCTCAACCGACTCTTGGACTTGCTCTACCTCTGCGTCTCCTGTTTTGAGTACAAGGTAGGCCCCCATGCTCTGCGACTCCAGGCCGCAGGCGAGCCACGGAGCTACCCACACATCATGAATGTCTGTGGGTGTCCTACCACGTAGGGGAAGAAAACCTTTGAAAGGATGAACAGCCTGACCTTCAAGAAGTCTAAAGACATGAAGGCCAAGCTGGAGGAGGCCATCCTGGGCAGCATCGGGGCCCGGCAAGAGATGGTCCGACGTAGCCGGGGGCAACTTGGTGGGTACCGTGTGGAATGGGATATGAGCTTGGTAGACCCAATTTCACAGTGAATATGTTCGGGTTTGCTAGGCCTCCAATAGCCTGTCTGTTCTCGTACAGAGAGGAGTCCCTCTGGGAGTGCCTTTGGGAGCCAGGAGAACCTGCGCTGGAGGAAGGACATGACCCACTGGCGGCAGAACAGCGAGAAGATGGACAAGTACGGTTCTCTTACTTTTCCCGCTGGCAAACACGGCACAAGGGCTACTTTTGTGACTGTTTTTTTCCTGCTGGTTACGCAAGATCACGCTGTTGACTTCCTCAGTTAAATAGTAACCTGGCAGGTCATGCTCAGCGTTTGGGACAACACTTCAGAGTTTCAACACTCCTGTTATGTATTCAATCTGATTCCTCACTGAAACTGTTGGGCGACCTGCGATGAAGACGTTGCGGGCTCACATCTTAATATGCGGGGTCCTAAGACCCTTTGAGACTTACTAAAGGCTGGCCATACTGCCTTTACACCATTCTTATGACAAATGCTGTCACTCTTGCTGCATCTGCACAAAGCATGCCAGGTCAATAGCTGTGAAGGTCATCTTGTCTTTCCCTTTGTCAGTTTGATGGAATGCAGTCTTAATTAGTGCCTCTTATTTTATAAAGGTTTGGCATTACATTTCTGTCACGCCAGCTAATTTTTGTTCCCTGACTCTGCCAGACTTTCGGAAATGGCAGTATTTCATATTCAAAAATCACCGAAGAGTTAAAAGAGCTGTTGATCCTTTTTTGATATCTTGGCTCCACCATCTTGGTTCTAAACTCCACATCAGGATATGTGTGCACAACCCTTCATATAAGCAGTGATCTCACCTCTTTTGAGGCGTGGAATGGTCTGTGGGACCTGAGGGCCTCAGTAAATCGGGTCTCCGCTCTGGGACCGTCCAGCCTCATTTATCTTGGTGGTCCTCTCTGATGACTGAAGTTGTGGCACTGAATCACCCGTCTGTTCTGTATTGGCATCCATTTTCAGTGCTATTCCTCCTCTGTCCATCATCAGCCATCTGGGTTTTCATTGGGTGTTGGTGCAGGTGGGCGGGAGATGGGCGGGGTCCTCTGCTGCTGTTGCAGGTGATGTACGGTACACGCGTGTGCATTGACTCCCTTCCTTCGTGTGTTTCCTCGTGTGCTGTGTGTTTTAGGAGCCAGAAAGCGGTCAGGTACTGTAAACCCAAAGTGTGCTGCTTCTGTTTACCGCCTGCTTCCCCTTCATTAATGGTGCTTTGGTTGTTTTTATTTCCTTTTAGTTTAACGCTGTGCATTTAACCAATTTTTTAAAATGGCGCCTGCTTTTTTTGAGTGGGGGTGGGGGGTCCTTTGGTAACCCTTCTTGTGTTGTGGTGAGTTGTGCTTCTGTCCAGGTCTGACAGTGTTAAGACAGTAACAGTTAATCTACCATACACCGTGAACAAGCTGAGCTTTGTTCATGGCTGCCTTCTAACTTGATGCCATATAACTGTGTAAAGTGGTCGCGGACTTCCGTTACGGGTCAAAGCAAGCGTCAGGCTGGTTTTGCCGAATGCACGTGGCCCTGATTTGGCGTGGTCAGAGCATGGCCTCTGGGGAATCCCATCATCCTTTCTGGGTGGTTCCAGAATCCTGGGCTAGTTCTGTCTTTCCTGCCCCCTGTTAAACATTAAGTCCCACCGTGCATGACCAAGGGGGTGTCCAAAGCAGGCATGTGGCAGTCATTTTTGTTTGTATGTGTCCCCACCCACCCTTCTCTCTGGCCAATACCTCCTACGACCCCCCCCCCCTCCACATTTCTTAACTACAGGTAGATGGGGTGCCTGATACAGGGCCTCCTGTGAACTGTGCTGTGTAGGTTTAAGGACTGCCCGTTACTCGGGGAGGGGGGGGGCACCAAGCTAGGACCCCCTGCTAGCTAGCAGTGTAGTGCGCTAATCTGAGCGCTTCAAGCTGTTTGAGTCCCCTCCACCCAAATCCCGCTTTAAGGCAGCGTGACCCCTCAGTGCATCCTGCGCTGACTATTACTGACTATCCTGCGCTGACTATTACTCTCTCTGTGGCAGAACCAGGGCGGAGCTGGAGCATGAAGCACTGATTGATGGCAATCTGGCAACCGAGGCCAATTTGATCATTCTGGACACTCTAGAGATCATCGTGCAGGTACATCCAGGACATGCGGAAGATAATCATCACTTAATTATTGCTACATTTTGCCAAGGGTAAGAATGACCCTGTTTGAGTGTTTGCCTGTTTGCATCCAGCTGCAAGTGGTCGAGAACTTACTTTGTCAAATATTTGTCAAGTACAGCCTGGTTATGATGGGGGTTATGTTCCGAAAAACCTGTCATTAGGCGAAAACATCGTAAGGCGAAAATGCATTTTAATACAGTACATCTAACCTAACAAACATCAAAGCCTAGCCTATCTTAAACATGCTTAGAACACTTACATTAGCCTGCAGCTGTGCAAAATCATTAACACAAAGCCTATTTTATAATAAAGTGTTGAATATCTCATGTAATTGCTTTAAAAACTGTACTGAACGTGATAAACAGAATGGAATTGGAATACCCATCGTAAGTTGTAATATTGTAACAGGGACCATGGTGATCCAGGGGGCGTCTGTAGTACCATACTGACAGGTTAGACTGCTTGAGCTTAAATCGGAGGCAACTGCACAAATTCTCCTGTATAACAGCATAATAGTGAGAGATACTGCAGGATTGTGCATTTTAGAACGTTAACAGTCTGACAGGGATTGTGCTGGGCGCTAGGAGCTTTTGGTCTGCCATTTCGACAGCAGCTGTTGTGCATCTGCTTGCCTCCTGTGCCTCCCTGTAGACTGTGTCAGTCACCGAGTCAAAGGAGAGCATTCTGGGGGGGGTCCTGAAGGTCCTCCTGCACAGTATGGCATGCAACCAGAGCGCCCTCTACCTGCAGCACTGCTTCGCCACACAAAGGGCCCTCGTCTCCAAGGTGACCACATAGTGTCCCTCTCTAACTTCTTGTTTCTTGTTTTTTTTTCTCCAGTGAAAGTTTTTTTTCTTTATTTAGTCATTTTTGATGCATTTCATTTTTCATTTCGGCTTGAATGTTTCGCTTGTTCCTTTCCCATCCCGATTCTTATAAACTTCAGTTTCAGTTTGTGACTTTGTTCGGGAAATGAATGGGGTCATGCTGCATTACCTGTGTGCCGAGGATTTTTTGAAGGCCAGGTTGGAGGTGGTGATGTTAGATCTGATTTGGGTTCATTGACACCGTGAGAATCTGACCTGTGGCTGTGGCGCTGATTTGGTCCGTCGCTCTGTCCTTGACAGTTCCCAGAGTTGCTGTTTGAGGAGGAGACGGAGCAGTGTGCCGATCTCTGCCTGCGGCTCCTGAGGAACTGCAGCAGCAGCATCGGCTCTATCCGCGCTCACGCCAGTGCTTCCCTCTACCTGCTCATGAGGCAGAACTTTGAGATTGGAAATGTGAGTCCAGGTCCATCGCAGTAAAAGATGACTCTGTCCCGACCTTGAGGATCAGGGTGTTGAACAATGGAGTAGTCCTCATTGTTGGTATTATCTCAGCACCTTTCAGTATATCTCCCCTCGTCAATCATTCCTTTGTAGAACTTTGCAAGGGTGAAGATGCAGGTGACCATGTCCCTTTCTTCACTGGTGGGGACCTCCCAAAATTTCAACGAAGAATTTCTTCGGCGTTCCCTAAAGACCATTCTTACCTATGCAGAAGAAGATCTGGAACTGAGGGAGACCACATTTCCTGATCAGGTTTGAATATTTTGTTACATTTTCTTCTTTTTACCTGGCATGTACAAATGGACTGTTCTGTTCAATAATTCTTCGACAGTTTCAAAGAGGAATTAGCTGCAGGGCAAGGACAGTCAATAATTTCTTGCCTGTGAGCCATAAATAGAATTATTGGATTATGTCCGGCAGCAGCAAGGTGGCAGAACTTTGTAAACAGCTCTTGAATCTTGAGAAATCAATTAAATGACACACTAGGAAATTCAGTTACATTTATGGTTCTGTGTGCTGCATTTTCAGGTCCAAGATCTTGTGTTCAACCTCCATATGATCCTCTCTGACACAGTGAAGATGAAGGAACACCAAGAAGACCCAGAAATGCTCATTGACCTCATGTACAGGTAGTGGTGCTTTCTGGTGGAGAGATTAGACAATTAAAGATGAACCCCTTTGTGTGAGGAGTTTTGGTGGAAATACAACTTAATGCTTTTGAACTGGAAAATGCAATCTTTAAATTGGACAGCACTGGCTCCTTGAAGGTCGCCACGGTACTTGATTTCTACCAAAGGTAGCAGAAGAAGAGGGCTTGTAGAATATCAGAGCATCTCATTCCCTGTAGGATTGCCAAGGGTTACCAGACATCCCCAGACCTGCGCCTGACATGGCTACAGAACATGGCAGGGAAGCACTCTGAGAGGAACAACCACGCGGAGGCTGCCCAGTGCCTGGTCCACAGTGCTGCCCTGGTGGCCGAATACCTCAGCATGCTTGAGGACCGAAAGTACCTTCCTGTTGGCTGTGTCACCTTCCAGGTAAGAGGGATACTGAACAGCACTACTGCAAAATGCCTCTGGTGTTTTACTAGGTGATTTTTGGGGGAAATTGTGGGGAATTAACCCTCTCTTTAATAAATTCAAACTGACACCTAGCTCAACAACCATGAATTCAAATAAAATATCCCGTCATATATTAATGAGTGGCCGCTGTATCTCAGAACATCTCATCAAATGTGCTGGAAGAGTCAGCTGTCTCTGACGATGTGGTGTCCCCTGACGAGGAGGGCATCTGCTCGGGGAAGTACTTCACCGAAATCGGACTTGTGGGTCTGCTGGAGCAGGCAGCGGCCTCCTTCTCCATGGTGAGAGTCCGGCAGGTTACTCGGGGCACTGGGGTCCCTGGATGTTCTAGTATTATCATGGACTATGGCTCCCCCTGCAGGCAGGAATGTACGAAGCAGTCAACGAGGTGTACAAGGTCCTCATCCCAGTCCACGAGGCCAACCGGGATGCCAAGAAGCTAGCCACCATACATGGTAAACTGCAGGAAGCTTTTGGCAAAATCGTGCATCAGGTAAATATTTTGGTACCATTATAAATGCATTTACAAGAACCGCTCAAGGCTCATAGTATGATCATGAAATGGTTTCCCCCGAAGCATTTCAACCTCCCCTTAACAACCACAGGTTTCCTTGCAGAAAGGTTGCATCATGCAAAGTAAGATGGCATCAGGGTGCAGGTGCACACACACACACTGGCTCAGCTAAAGGCCGACACTCCTTAAATGTCACCGCATCTCTCAGCCTCTTCTGAGACATATTTATCTGCAGGATTTTGCAGTTTTACTTCTGACTTATAAAAACATGGTTTGTGTTTCTGCTTATACCTTCACCGTAAGATGAAAAAATGAAAATTGCGACATTCCGTCGTGTGTGTAATTAGTGCTTTAGTGTAGAACTACGTAAATGAAGATGAATTGGGTGTGAATTGAATTATGATTTATATAAATAAAATTGAATTGAATTGGAATGCTTCTTTTTGCATATCCCATTTTACTCTCCTTTTAAGACACACATACAGGTGAGAGTGCAGCTTGGGGTGCGAATGCAGGGTCAGCCGTTCATCAGGCACCTCTGGAGCCTCTTCTCCATACACATGCACACTTAAAGAACGCAGTTCTCCTCACTTTTCCTTGCTGTAATGGGAAATGTGTTTATTTGTCCTGTATTTTTTTTTTTTGTTTTGTCACACAGAGCACAGGCTGGGAGGTAGGTCTCCTTGTGTTCCCGGCCGCCCGCCTGCCCATGTGTGCTAGCTATGGGTGCCCTGTCACTCTCCACCGTGAACACGGTCCCATTAACCTCCGAGTTCCACCGTCCATCCGACGGGGCTGTTGGCACGAATGAGCAACAGTTTTTTCCCTCTGAAACACGAAGCAGCCCCTGAGAGCGAGGCAGTGCATGGGATCTGGAGTGTTCCACACTAACAGAGCGCCTTTCGTGAATGCCACCCCCCCCCCCCTCCCTCCCCCGTCATCGCTGCCGTCTGACATTTCCTGTCGCTGCGCATTTCATCTTCTCAACCACAGGGTTCGATTTAAGTGCCTCAAGTGCGTTTCCTGCCAGTCTCCTGCCTCCCGTGCCTCCGTACACGCGAGTGGAGAGGGAACATCTTGTGAATGTCAGCAGTGTTTGAAAAAACAAACTAATAAACTAATTGGAATTTGGCATTTGAGCTTTGGGTGGAGGTTCGATTTTTTTTGATGTATTGGTGTTTCTAAATAATTTTATTTTCTTCAACTAAATCGACCCCTGGTTTGTCATCTGTGTCGTGAGTTAATGTGTGGTTTACTGCATGAAATGGACCAATCACCCCCACCCTCCAAAGCACCAATCACTCAGCATCGCTGTGCCCTGAGTGTATTCTTGAGGTGTAGCTTGGTTGAGGGGATCTCACTCCAGCCTTTGCTCCTCACTCTCTGCCTGAGCCATCCTCTCGTCACACCTTCTCTGCATGGTTTAGATCTTCAGTTTTGTGTCGGTGTCTTTAATTTTGTTTTCTATGATAATTTTATTGCTTTTTTTTCACCATAGGTGCTGATCTTTGTGAATTTTAATTTTGTGTTCTTTTGGATGTTCCTGGACCTGATTAAAATGTTCTGTTTTCTCCCTTGTTTTCCCTGGTTGCTGACCCCCTCCTTCCTACTTTAATTATTGTGTGTTGTGGTAAGTTCCTAGTTTTCAGGGGTTTTTTTCCTCTTATTTACTTAATGGGGAAATGAATGCAGAGGGACAGAGCCAAACTAGTATGACTCCCAAATGAACTTAAAAAACCCTAAGAGAGGTCAGATTCCTTGCCCCGTCGTGGATTAGTAGTCACATGCCTGTGATTTCTTAGCCCTGGTTGGACTGCTTTGGCCTGACCCAGCTCCGCTGTACTCTTTGGTTGTCCTGACTTGGCACGCCTGTTTCATGCCACTCCTGCTCTCTCTGTGGACCTCCGTGTCAGGCTGCCTCCCATTGGCTTGCATGGTCTTCTCTCTTCACTCTCAGAAAAAAGGGCACCCATCTTGTGCCTTTGCTTGTACCCTCAAGGGTCTGCCAGTTTGTACCCTTAGCTGTAGGTAGTTGTGCCTTTTAAGGTACAGAAATGGACTTTGAGGAACATTTCTGTACCATTGATGCTACATTAATGCTGTTTGTACCTTTTGGATGTTCCTCAGAGTCTATTTCTGTACCTTAAAAGGTACAATTACAAGGGTACAGCCCCAAAGACAAGCAAAGGTACTAATTCTTCCCCTTTTATCTGAGAGTGTCGAGGCTTTAACATCTCATTTTCTCCCTCCTTCAGTAGAGTAAATTGAGTTTTATTTCATGCCCTCCTTACCCAAAACATCATGGTGGTGTGTCTTAAAAGGAGGCCTTTGTACCCTTTCATAACCCTCTCTTCTGTCTGTTACACTCTCGTACTGACTGTTCTTTCGACACCGTCAATAGTCACCGACTTGTCTTTTCTGTGGTTAATCGTAGCCCTGTAGATTATTCTTACTAACCAGCCAAGTTTCCTACTGCAGGCAGGAGTGATTCTAGGGTTTTTTAAGGTGGGGGGGGTATAAGAAGGGAAATAATCTGTACAGAGGGGCCAAACAATGATTTGTTTCGAATCAGTGAGTGATAGGAAGAGAGGGCACTCTGGCGGCCAATCAGCTTTAAGCTTGGCCCATTGCCTTTATGACCCCACCCCTGTTTACACAGTTTTACTGCAGTAACTAGGTTAAATTATACAGCTTGTAGCCAAATAAAGTTCATTTCATTTTCTTGACTTGGAGCACTGCTGTGCTCATACTTTCTGAGGGGCACGTACTCAAAGGTTAAAAAAGGGGCACTCAGTACCTTTGGAACTCATGGGTAACTTCATATTAAATAATTTGGGCAAAACGCCCCCCCTCCCACCCCCGCACATACCTGGCCTGGAGTTTTTTTTGTGTCATGAAATCTCAAAGGTAAACAGTTGCAGATCACTTTGTTTAATGAAGCCTGCTTTTAGCATGGTTGTGTAACCAGGAGACAGATGAATGAAAGGTCCGACTTTGACCGCGTTCTGCTCCAGCCCTTTGCTTATGTAGCACTTGGCAGGGTTCACGCCCTGCAGGGACCCCTCTTGCCAGCCAGTGCTCAATTCCTGTAGCATCTGGTCAGGCGTGACATGTTTCTGTTAGGATTTGAATTATCCTGCATCAGCTTTGTTGGCATCGAGGTCCCGCAGAGTTTTATCGGGCTGTCAAACACAGAGCCGCAGTAGAATATCATTTCAGGTGGTTTCCTCTGTCAGGTTATGCAATGTCGCAGTATCTATGTGACAGGCCTTGCTAAATGTATAAACTGTCCTTTGCACTGGAGAGCTGTCTAACATTTATCAGTGAACATTTTCACATTTGCTGTTCACATTTAGTCCTGTGTATACATGACCTTTTGCTTTGTGATATCAGCTTTTTTTTCTTTCCTCGAATGCCATTTATCTGTCATTTACTTGTTTTTTTTTATCTTTAAATCTTTAGTTGCTTTTTGTAAAATTTAATATAACAGTAGCTTTCATTTCCCCCACCCCCATTCTTTAGGATGGAAAGCGTATGTTTGGCACATACTTCCGAGTCGGATTTTATGGATCCAAATTTGGAGATTTGGATGAGCAAGAATTCGTGTACAAGGAGCCAGCGATCACGAAGCTGGCGGAGATTTCGCACAGGCTGGAGGTAAACAACCAGAGAGCCATTAGCTGGGGGATCCTGGGGTTCATGGCTGCTTGTAGCCGAAACTGAAATAGACTCCCTTTCTTCTCAGGCATTTTATGGGGAAAGGTTTGGGGAAGATCAGGTAGAGGTGATCAAAGACTCCAATCCTGTGGACAAGTGCAAGCTGGACCCAAATAAGGTAAAGGAGCAGGTCAGGAAATGGAACCATTTCAAACACAACAAATAATTACCTGGGTAGGTCTGTGTCCGTTTTCTAAGATTAATTTCAATTAGCAGTTTTGATGGATGATTTTCATTCTAGAGATGTTTCCTCTTGCCGTGTTGACGTAAAGAATTGCTGCATCCAAAGACAATGCATTTGTATTCTTCATATTCAGAGTAAGAGAGTCAGGGTTTGGTCAGTCGTATCAAACGGCTTTTGCGTTTGTGGTCTAGGCCTTTATACAGATCACCTATGTGGAGCCTTACTTTGACACATACGAAATGAAGGACCGCATCACGTATTTCGACAAGAACTACAACCTGCGGCGCTTCGTGTACTGCACCCCCTTCACGCTAGACGGCCGGGCACACGGCGATTTGCACGAGCAGTTCAAGCGCAAGACCATTCTCACCACCTCGCACGCCTTCCCCTACATCAAGACCCGCATCAACATCATCCACAAGGAGGAGGTGAGGCTCCCTGCTATTCCTGTCTCTCCGGCATAGATGTCAGTAACCTTCCTGAACCACTAACATTGTGTACAACACTGCTTCCACACAGAACATAGCAAGAACCTAAAGAGTGGAAACAATCAGCATTGCAGTAGATAGTGTTGCTATAAGTTGGGATGCTTTCGGTCCATTTATTGCTGAAAATGAGTCAATGTCAATATCTTAAATCGACACACTGTTTTTTAATTTCATGAAATTACCTTTTTGATTTCTAAAATGCTTAAATTCATTATAACATACGTTTTCCTTAAGTCACTAGATAATTATGGGAGTAGTGCAAATTATCACAAAACAAAAAGATTTTTTGTTTGTAAATTGTGCAAAGTTCGATGGCATACCACAATGGCACTAGTACTATGCATGAGCACCTGAAGAGAAAAGACACAGGTGCTGTTCTGGATGATGGACTGCCAGAATAGACCAAACTGCCTTAAGTGTTGTCAATTCATGTTTATTAAATTGCCATTAGTATGGTGTGCCTTTTAATAACCTTTGCCCTTATGGCTGCTAGATATGCTTATTATTACAGCCATAAAGTCGACTGCCTGCTACCTTAGAATTTCCATTGAATAATAGGCTGGGCTTATTCTACATTGATTAATGGTGCCGATGTGTGTGTTTGTGCACGTTGGGCTTGTTGGGACCAGTGTTATCGTAAACTAAAACTGAAAGAAAAATAGAAATTAATTTAAAAACCAGAATTTAACTGAAATAATAAAAAAAACTGTTTACCAAAAGAAGTGTTGAACCTTTAACTGCAAAAAGTACCATCGTATTATCAACATCTTTTTACCTTGTTTATCCACAATATCTCCTCTTTTAAAAGATGTTGTGGTTGCTGATCTGTCCCTTTCTTCACCGCCACTTCAGTGCTTATCGCTTCCATGATTTACCCAAACAGTAGCATGTGGTGTGCTCCGCTAACCGAATTTAATAAGTATAAAGAATTAATACAGATTACTAACTTTTGGGCATCACTAAATGCATCTCATTAATATTTTTAGGCATAAAATCTTCTTATCAAATTGTGGGTCTAAGTAAACATTGGTATAGTGTCAAAGTTGGCATCCATTATCTAAAGCCCTACAGTGCCAGTTTGTTGTTTTCAAAATAAAATTAACTTAAATGAAATAGTCAATCTGATTTTCTGAAGAAAAATGAATTGTTTAAAATAATCGACCAATTGATAAAATAATTCATAGATTAATCTATTAATCGATTCATTTAATAAATCTAAAGTCGTTAGTGGCAGTCATACTTTTATCTGTAAAGAACTGTAAAAATGTCATCAGTACAGGATGAGCCTTTTAGTCAGAACAGTCTGTGTAGCTCCTGCTGGTCTGGCAATCATGCCATGAGGCATTTTGATTGCATCTAATCCTTGGTCCCTTTCACACAGATCATCTCCATGCCAATTGAAGTGGCCATTGAAGACATGCAAAAGAAAACACAGGAGCTGGCCTTTGCCACACACCAGGACCCCGCCGATGCCAAAATGCTTCAGATGGTGCTACAGGGTTCTGTCGGTACGACTGTCAACCAGGTGAGCAGCAGGACAAGGTGCCTAATCTCCAAACACTCTTTGATGGCCAGACCTTCCAGGCTGGTTATGTATCAGCTTACAGGATGGCTTTATGAGATTTCCCAGCCCCAAAAAAACTGGCCGTGGTTCTGCAAATGCTTAGTGCAAAACTAGCGAACGCTCAACCAATCCAAGAAGCCAAACCACAGTTGCTTAATTAAAATTCATTGGCACATTCAGTCAGATTTGTGCGATAGGCATTGAATGGCGTAAATTGCAGAGTGCACTGCATGCTGATCATAGTGTTAATTTAGACCTATACTTGATACAGGGTCGTGACTGAACTAGCATGGGAAAAATTGGGTTGTGGTGCAAAAAAGGTTGAGAAAAAACTGTCATACATCATGTATAAAGGCATGGTTACAAAAAAAATCTGGAATTAGGTCCTTCAAGAGCTTGAGTCTGATTGGTATTTTATTTTGTACAGGGACCCCTTGAAGTTGCTCAGGTCTTCCTCTCTGAAATTCCTAGTGATCCCAAGCTCTATAGACACCATAATAAACTACGACTGTGTTTCAAAGACTTCACAAAAAGGTAAGGGAAAAAGGGGCTTGCTAGGTAAAGGAATAGTGAATAATAGATTAAAATCAAAGCGTACATGGCAGAGATGTCTTAAACCTAAGCACCACCTTCCCAGGTGTGAAGACGCCTTGCGCAAAAACAAGAGCTTGATTGGTCCTGACCAGAAGGAGTACCAGCGTGAGCTGGAAAGAAACTACCACCGGCTAAAGGAGGCCCTGCAACCCCTTATCAACAGAAAGATTCCCCAACTCTACAAGCCCATCCTGCAGGTCAACTCCCACAGGTGTGCTGATAGGCCTCCTTCCCATTACAGCACATTGCAGATGCGCTGACTCCTGTTAAGTCACTACTGAATTTCTAATGGTTCAAATGGTAGATTGAATGGTATTAGCGAAAGACTGTTAACAGCATGTAACTGTGCCACACCCGTTAGGGGGACCGATATTGTTTAATTATACTGGAAAACTGTAGAATATACTTTGCCTTCCTTTTTTATGTGCCATATTTTTTATTTTATCATCTATTGAATTAATCTGCAGCTTCAAACAGAAGCTGTTTCAGAAATGCTATTAATTGTGGTTGTTTTACATAACACGCAGCAAAAGGACTACTTGATAAGGTAGTTTCCACCGTTTTGTCCATACAAATATCTCATGGGATCTTCTGTCACTGTTGTAATGCTTTTTTAACAATCTTCTTTTGCAGAGATTCCTTCAGTAGAATGAGTCTTCGCAAGTTGGACATTTGAAGATTAAGAAGAAACAAGGTCTTATTTATTCATGTGTAAATATCAGTCTTCGGTAACCAGTGTTCATGTCAGTAAGAGATGAGCTGAAGTGATACGAGTTTGGTACGTCATTCCAGTTTCTTATTAGTTTACAGATCTGTTACACGATCATGCTAAAGTTGATCTTACTGCAAAGTACGTCCAATATGGATTCCAATTTTTGTGCACTTTTGTTTTTTTTTTTTTTTACTCTTCCAATGCATTTTTCCTAGACATTGAACAAGCTGAAACTATTTAATTTGAAGACAAGCAAAAAAAGTACCACTATTTATCAAAAAGTATTGCTTTATCTTTAAGTTTTGCATTTGTTAGGGAAAAATGTTTTAAACGTGTCCTCCAAAAATAGTTTTATGTAGGTTTTTGTTTAAATATTTTAATAAATAAATATTTTAATGTCTACTTCTGCTTCATGAATGAGGCTTTCACAAAGAGTAACTGATAAGAATTCCACACTATAGCAACGGTGATGCCCTGAGTCTGGTGTTTGTTTTGTACTGGGGACTAGTTCATGTATATTGATCAAATGAGGATCACTGGAATTCAGCTTCAGGCTAGTTTTTATTCATCTATGTGCCCTGCTTCCTGAGACAAAGGAAAATGTTTAATAAGATCCAGTATGCTACATTATAATACACATTGGGTCACATGGGTAGCCCACAGATCTCCAGGGCTGGAGATAAACCATCAAAGCGTTAAAGTTAAAATGGAGATGTCAGTGCTCAGCCAGCCCTCAGCATGATCATCCTGAAGACAGATGCCATAGATGAGCTAATTCACCATTTGAGTTTGAATCAAGGTATAAATCTCACATGGATGATTCATGTGTGCTGGTTGTTTCAATGGCAGCTGGCATTAGACAGACTACAGCCGGTAAAGTCAAACTTGCTTTCAATTCCCTGCTCATAAAAGTCCGGTTCCAGGAAGAGTGGCAGTCTATACTTCACTTTCTACAGTAATGGGACTACAATGAATAAGCCCAAACATGTTTGCATAGAATAAAAACATGTTGACAGCCATTGTACGAAGTACATTACAGAAGACTAGCTTATTTGCTTTTAATCTTACACTGGCACATTTTTGTGGCTATAAAAATATAAATCAGCTCTAATATTCAAAGTGAGTCTGCTACTGAGGCTTTACAGCTGGTATAAACAAGTTGTAGTATATTTCTGAATGTCAGTTTGATTCCAACTCCAGTCCCACAGATGTTACCACAGCTGTCAGCCCAGACTGAACTGTAGGTTTGACAAAATCACTTGTAGGAAGCTTCAGGTGACAAGCCACATAACTAGCTACCTTGAACTGAGCAGTTTATCCAAATTATGAACTGTAGTACCGGAAGCACATGTTTATCATGCAGCTCCTGAAACAGATGAGTGCTGTCAAATCCCACCACTGCCCCCGGTGGTAGGACTTAAGTCTACGCTTCTAAAAATACACCATAACTAAACATTATTTCATTAACGAAAGCTATGCTCTATTCGGCATTCCATAAAAATGGAAAAGCTTTTTAAAAAGACTTCTGTCAGCATTTGGATCCTCAGTCTAAGGCAGAATGGGGGAAGTGACTATATACACACAATGCATCGCATTGGAAGAAATACCTCATTATACCACTGGAAATACATGCAATCTTACTATAAAGCAAAGATCATATAGAATGCATAGAATGGTTGCTACCAAACAGTGATACCCAAGAACTTCAAATGCATTCTTACAGTAAAAATTAACTGAAGTAGATTAATAAAAGGCACTATAAGTGCCAAGGTGCTGTGAGGAACAAAAACAAAAATTTAATTGCCACAAAAATGGTCCAGACAGATTTGTGACAAATGCAGTCACATCTGCTACACGGCTATAGACATATGACGCTGAAATACTCGAGCCACAGACCATTCACTCCTGGACTTTTTTGTAGAACAGAAGATAAGGGGTGGACGTTGTGCAGGTCTCTGGAGAACAGCCATTCAGGAAGTCCTTCTCCTCAAAAACCCTGACCTCTGAGTCATCAAACAACATCCACTTGCCCTCATAGCCTACTAGGTTATGCTGGGCAAGGTCTTTGCTGGTCTCCATGGTCACATCGTCTGCTTTAAAGGCTGCAGTGCAGGTATCCCTGCTCTCATCCTCACACTTAACCCCCACCTGGTGTCCCTGGGCACTTCTGGGCTCCTCTTTGGTACACTCTGCCATGACACCACCTGCCTTGTCTGGGTTAGCCTGCTTGCTCCCCAGCTCGAAGCTGGAGACACTCTTTTGGCCTCCCAGCAGTCCTACACCATCGGTGGGCTTCTTGGCACCAATCTTGCCGGTGGTGATGTTTGCCTTCCCACTGAGGCTGAAGGACACCTCACCGTCATCGTAGTCCCGCTCCCTGTAGGCCGGGGCCACCGCATTTGGGGAATCTGGCCTCGGACCTTCTTCATCTAGCTCCACCTTCATGTCCTTCAAGTCCATCATCTTGACGTAAGTGGTATAGTGTCCGCTGCTGATGGTGACCCCGCTGTGCATGACCACTGCGAAAAGCTCGTAGTGCTCCTTGGACGGGTGTGTGCACCACTCCTCCAGGGACAGCCTGAGCGGGGTGTGAAGAGGGGTGTTCACCTTAGAGAGCCCGGCGTATGGGTCTATCCTGTCAAGCAGAAAAATAACCAATCAGCATACCTCCACATTTCAATGTACTTCCTTTTAAGGAAAGCTCAAAAGGGCCTCTAGAAGACTTACTCTGAACTGTTGGCAGCAAAACACTTGAGATGAATGGTCACAACCTCTGGGGTTTTGTCGAACAGGAGGCTCCTCTCTGCTTCAGTATAGTGATGGCAGGTCTCACAGAAGTACTTGTCCTCACCCACTATCCTTTCCACTGAAGCAAACTGAGACAGGGCCCACTTCAGGGTCTTTGACTCCTGCTTGGGATCTGGGGAGACTGAGAACATAAACCAAGACTTTAATACAGTTAATGGGGATAAACACATTTCCATCTAAAGGAGGGGGGGGGTGCTCACTCTCAGAGTCATCTTCGAGCCGGCAGGGCTCGTCTTCCTGCACAGGAACACTGATGTCCTGGAAGTCCTCCCTCCGCTCGGTGAAGCACTCACACTCCAGGCAGCGAGTGCGCAGGACCAGCTGGCCCTGGAACAAGTGCTCCATCAGGTCAAAGCAGCTGTTTTCTGTGAGGGGAGAGCAGCACCAACAGCGCATGAGCGTCGGACTTGCCGTAGCCGTTACGACAATCCCCTTGTGATTATCTACGCGAGCCGAGAAAGAAGCATATTAACCTTTGCTTTGAGATTTGGTTTTCATGGAGTGAAGCTTCTCATCCTCACCCCCCCGGACTCCACCGGCATCCTTGTCCTTGTCAGGCAAGGACGGGTCTCCCTTCTCCTGCTTGGTATTGGATCCCGTGTGCGAGCTGATCCTGCCCCTGAGCCGGAACTTGGAAAATATGCTGGGCTGCTTGCATGAGGGCTTCAGCCAGCACAGCCTGGGCCGCTTCTGTCTCCTTGTGGTCACCTTGGAAGAGCAGTCGGTTGCAGTCTCCGGATCACTGGCCCCCTCGATCCCGTCCTGGGTAAGTTCTGTGCCGATGTCACCTGATGTCTTCCTTTTGGACCGGGTGAAATGTAATGGCTCCTCTGTCTCACTTTTCACCTGGATGGACTTTGACTTCTTCTTGGTGTTCCCTGCCTCTGTGTCACTTTTCCTCTTCCTGGGGATCTGGTTCTCTGCGTCCCCTTCTTGCCCACCGTTCATCGGTGCCTCACCTGCATCTAAAGTCTCCTCTGTTGTGGCATGCCTCTCCTCTTCCATCTTACTCCCAGAACAATCTGCTTTTAAGTCCTGAGGCTGGCTTGCCATGTCATGCTCCTTTTGAATGGATTCGCAAGCCTCCTGGATGTATCCTAGTATGCACCGCAGCACCTCCTGTGCATCATGCTGCAAATATCCCTCATACATGGGATTCAGCTGCCTGCAGCCAAACACAATGAATTTCATGGTTAAAACATCCTCATGGTCACCCCAACTTTATCAACATTAGTGAAAAGTAAAGGTGTGTCTACATCTCCAGCAGTCGGAAGGCACTCACCTGAGTGTGTTGAGCAGTCTCCGGGGTGGAATGGCCAGCTCACCATCACTGTACTTCTTTGGGTTGAGGAGAAAGCTAGATTGGAGTTGCTCCATCGAAGTTATGAGGCTATGAAAGCTGCCCAGCAGTTCAATGTTCATTGGTATGGCCTCCTCAGCACCTTCCTGCTGCTTGTGGGGGTGGGGGGGCGGGAGAAGAAAGGGAAAACTCCATTACGCCAGAGCATACCTCAAGTATGAGTATACCTCAAGAGTAAACTGCACTCGCACACACAGAATATTATTCTAAATGGAAAACCTCATTATCAGCATCCTGTTTTGGCTTCTCTTTTTTCTTTGATAAGTTGTACAGCATCTTGATGGCATCCTTAAACCCAGGGCAATAGTAAAGCACCTGCAGGTGAGGGAGGGGGATGTTTCAATTTCAGTGCAGCAGGTTCTACACAGATTTACAGTAACACAGTCCATTAACACTGCATTAAGAGAATTATTAAAATTTACCTGCAGAATGCTGTTCAGATAGCAGGTGTTCCCCAGATTATTCAGACCAACAAAAGGAACCAGGTTCTCTCTGTTCTCACAAGTAAGAGGGGCAGGTGTTGGCCCAGGTACGACCTGGTCACAGCTTTGAAAAAAACAACAATAAAGATTTCGAACTACCAATGCCTTAATGTTTGCCCTCCACACATCAATCTGAAGACCAGACTGCTTTCCCTAACCTGTCAGCCTCATCCTGTTCCAGGGGCTTCTGCTCCTCCGCCCGTGACTCGGAGAAGTCCAAAGTGCGCTTGGTGTCCTTCTTCTGGAAGAACTTGAGAGAGAGTCTGTTCTTCTTGCCGGGACTCCCGACCGCGGCCGGGCCGCCCTCGCTATGCAGGCCGGTCATCTTACGCTCGTGCTCGGCGACAAGATCCCAACAGCGCTACCGCCGAAACAAAAGCGAAACGAAAATAAAGCAAACTAACGTCAAATAAACTGACTAACCAGTATTCCTGGGTTATATCGGACTGTACGGGGCGCTACGACGCAACACCACCTAAATACAAGCGCTCCAGCACGCCCACCCGGATCGCTGAATTAACGTGGAGATTCTGGAAAACAATTACAACTCAGAGTATTTTTTTTTTTTTTTTTACAAAAACGCATAATTTAATGCTTGGCTCAACAATCAGTGAAGCAGATCACGTCTATCAGTAAAATAACGAACAACTGCATGCTTATAATTCCTTACATGCTTTTAAAACACGTATATTTGTTGTATATAATTATGAATAGTTTACACTTCGGATTAACAAGTCAACTACACTTCGC